GTCTTCAACTGGGACGGAGAGGCTCTTTTAACTTAGGCGTAGAATTTGCAGGTTAGAATTTTAAATCACTGATCGGTGGAGGACAGGATTGCTGATCATTTGACGTTTTTCTGAGGAGGGGGACCATTTGCATCATCGGATTCTGTTGATGTCACGCATCCAGTGACTTCCTGCTCTGTTTCCTCGTGTTCTTTGATCTGAAGGAGTTTGCGTGAGACTCTGAGAGGGGTCACCTGACTTTATAACAATCAGGCAGCGCAATAACCCATTTCCTCTCAGAAGTATGCTTCTAGCCATTTATTATCAAAGCAACACCCACTGCATCGATGTAATACTTAATTGTGTCATTTTGAGACACTCAAGAGGAAGACGGATCAAAGATGGCGAGTGCTGCAGGGCCGACAGCTTAAGAAGCATCCACTTCAAAGGGACTGTTGGATAGGATTTCAAACAAAACATTATGAGGGTTGTTTCTCCACCTTGTTCAGGTCTCTGCTGGATCACAGGGCCAGAGTCTGAGCTGCACGCTCGCTGCGTGACTGACTCCATGTGGTCACCACACAAACTGCACATCACTGCTGCTTTTGGATTTTAAACTGTGTGTGATGCTAATGTGTGATGCTAACTACATTGAGCACAATGCTAAATAAAATAGTGATGTTGGTTGGGTCTTTGTTAGAACAACGATTCTCAGCAATAAATCTTGTCTCATTGGAAATTTGCAAGGACTATGCATCCATGGAATGAGCAACACAGCTACGTGTGTCGCCACATTGCATCAACATTTTCTCTCTTTAGTGTTTTGAGTTGTTTGGTTTGTTGTCTTGTAGCATTTTCCTACAGTAAAAAGGAAAAGTAACAAACACTGACTATCTTTGCACCCATTTTTAAACCATCAGGGCCTCGGTACGTGCAGAAGATCCACGCGCAGCCACAGCAGCTCGGCTCCTCCTCCTCATGCTGGGCGCCAGTCTGGTCCCATTTGACCGTGGAATGACTTTTCATTCCTCAACCAGGGTTTTAGTGAAGGTGAATCAGCCTGATATTGGATACTCCAGAACAGGCGTGGGGAACCCTGGTCCTCAAGGGCCAGTATCCTGCATTCAGCTGTTGATTCACCTGTTCAGCAGCTCATCAGGCTCTGCAGAAGCCTGTTAATCACCTGCTGATTGAAATCAGGTGTGTTGAAACTAACACATGCTGGATAGTGCCAAAACGTAGATATTTTTCTACGTTTTGGCCTGTCATCCACACGAAAACGGAGTTTTTTCACACAAAAACTGATCTTTTTAAAAACTCCGGCCAAAGTGAAGATCTGCGTTTTCTCCGTTTTGGGTGTCTGCGTGTGGACGGACAAAACCGGAGTTTTAAGGTCCGCAACGTCACTCTCCGTGACAAAAAATGCTGACATCACGTGTGCGACCTGTGTTTACACTAGCCGGCATCATGGATGCCCTCAGAGCTGCGCTCGCTTTATCAATTGTCCAAGCGCTTTTTGCTTGTTTGTTTTTGCAAGAGGAATTACTGCTCCTTGCGGAAGACTACAGACGAAGGACGAGGTTAAGAACGGGGGAAGTACTGCCGCCTACAGGTCTGGCATGTCCTTAACAACGTATTTATCCGGGTACGTGTGGACAGAGTTTTGTTTTAAAACGAGGTGGTGTGGATGCAAGTTTTTGGAGGGGCGGATATTCGTTTTCAAACAACCCCGGCTACGTGTGGACTAGGCCCAAGACTGGCTTTTATTTTGGGCTGAAAACCCAAAACAGTGTTCAGAAAAACGACCATCTGAGCTTTGGGATTAGGTCAGCCCATTGATATTCATTAAAGACCAAGTTCACTCACTTTATAAAGGTTCCAGATCATGCTATTTTAAGTCTTTGAGAGCCAAGGTAGACACAATATATGATAAAATGTTATCGTTGGCACTACTGAGATGTCATTTTACCTTAGATACGAGTTCTTTTCATCAGCTTGAATTTCTATGTCAATGTTCCTGCGTCTGGGTGCTTAAGGGTTGTTTCAGGTCTGTTTTGATTGCTTGTACTTTTTCTAACTGATTTTATCTTAGGTCTGTTGTTCTTTGGTGCAAAACTATGTCTGCCTCTTGGCCCGATCGTCGTCGTAAACGAGAACGAGTTCTCAATTGTGGTAAAATAAAGTTTAAATAAAATAAACAAAACAGTTCATGTCAGCGAAGCTCTGCATACGCCCGCTCCGACGAAGCGCGCCTACAGCATCTTAGGCGTTGGGATTGTTGTCCAATCCAAGAGATTCCACTTCTGTTTTCTATCAGAGGCTAATGCAGGAAACTGGGGTAGAAGAGGCTTTAATGTTCAGCCTGCATGTGGAACACCGAGTGACCGTTCATGTTTCAAAATAACAAGTAAAATGAGAGGTGATGCCACGATATACCAGTTATGGTACTGCTTGATCGTGAGCACTCGGGAAGTGGGGCTGACGCTCACCTTCATACCGGCACACAACCGTGTTGTTTTAACCCTCCCACTGTCTTCATGGGTGACCCCGCAAAGAAAGTTGACCATTGAGCAGGATTGATGGTTTATCCCTTGAGGCCCACGTGGCAGGGGTGAGCTGCTCAACTTTCTTTGTGGGGTCACCCATGAAGACAGTGGGAGGGTTAAGCATAAAATAAATAATTACAGCCACAGGCATTTCTATACCGTTTTTAGGGTTCCTGAAGCAGCCCTAAATTGAACCCCAGCACCCCTTAACCCCTAAGAAATCAAATGAAGGCCAACTCCCGGTCGAACAGAGATTGGAGTGATAGTGACACTTATCTTGATGTCAGGCGTAGACAATTTCTTATCCTATTGTCTTTTATTCATACTGGAACCAGCCACTAGAGGGCAGTCATTACATGTTGGCTGTAACTTCCCAATTCTTTCCAGTTGATGGTGCTTTCCTGACTATGGATATGGAAAATGTACGCATTAGAATGTCACTTGGAAGTTGATGTCATAAGTAACCAAAGTGCCCCCTAGTGGCTGGTTCTAGTGCAAATATTTACACCACCGCGCTTATTTAAAGGGATGCAGCTTTATAAATATTTTTAATAATTTTCTTGAGCCAGTATGGGCTCAAATGACCTTTTACATGGTTAATGAAAGGTCACTCAGACCCCACCACCCTCTGTAGCCAGAATGCCGCACATGCAACTTCAGAGTGCCGGGCTGCCACCAGTGGCCTTTAGAAAACTGGAGCTTGGCAGTCTGCTTCCAGCACATTTCCTGCATGCTTTAAGTCCTGAACACAGCTGATTTGTTTGATTTGGTGATGAATCACTCCTGTAGAAACTGATACAGGCTGAGGAGTCATTTCAGCTGTTAGATTAAGATGTTAAAAATACGAATTCACAGCGAGGGGATAAATTTCACTTTTGCTTTGACCACATATAATTAATAATGGACACTAGAGGGCGCTGAAGGCAAGCAAAACTGCTTAATATGTCTGACCAGATTAACAAGCTAAAGGCTAGTCAAAGCTGATTAATTCAAATGGAATTAAGTTGTAGAGAAAATATCCCTGGCATTGTTTATCTTTCCATTCAGATTTTAACTAACTCTAGTTCTCTAAACTGAGGCCACCAGTGAGTGATTGTTTTGAACAAAACAACCGTTGTTTATTGTTGATTTGATGTTGGGCTCAGGTTGGATCTGTAGTGCTTTAGTCTTTTCTCCAAACAGTAACAGCAACCATTGAACAGAAGGCTAATGTCAGATTTCTTGTCTACTAAAATAAAATAAAGTAATTTTTGACTGTTTAAGTGCAGAAGAAACAGGTACTGTTAAGTTTCAGTCAGTGTCTAGAAAGTCACTTCGACATGTCAGCTTGAATATCCTGTATGTGTACGAAACGTGTTTTTTTATGTTCCGTTCCCTGTGCTTTGAGCCTCCTCTCTAGAAGATTCTGTGACCTTGTTCATAATGGAGAGTCTGAGCGTTTCCCAGCAGGCGCTCCTGTTGAATGGACGGGCCTGGCTGCCTGACTTTGCTGGCCCAGAGTATCACGGCCCCTTTGTGTGTTGCCTCCGAGCTTTACTTTAAACTCACATGCCGCATGAGAAGGATCCGAGACCGAATGATTACAACGTGTTTTGACAAAGGACTGACTCTGCACGAAACGTTCAATCAAAATCAAAAAGCAAATGTAGATGCATCAGCCTAAAAGAAAAAAAATATCCTCAGTTAAGGCACGGTGATGCAGTTGCTATGGCAACAATGATAGAAATAGACGTGGATCTGCAAGGGAATGGAGATGTATTGAAGTGTTGGTTAGAAACAGAGACCCGGTGATTGACAGGTTAAAGAGCGGTTGGACTTGGACACAAACGTTTGGGAGTTTTGGGATTGCGCATCCATCTTTTGTCTAAATGGTGGAGAGTGTCTGGAGAGAGGCTGCATGCATGATACGCTGCAGTGAATTAAAAGTGCAGCACCATGAATGGGGGCACGTGGGGCACATCATTACGGTGGCTGGACCGTGCTCCCTGGTCCTGTGTGAGAGCAGATAAGCCCAGGAGACAGCAGCATAAATTTTGCAGGAAAAGGATTCTGTTTGTTGCATCTCGATCTAATTAACATCTTAAATTATGGTAACATTTCTATGTAAAACACATAGTTGTCTGGGTGTAAGAGGGCTGCCAAATGAGACCTTTGGGAAGCAGCCATTGGAGGCAGGCCCGAACATTTCACTAACCCACTCCTGTGCTCATTACAGACCTTCCGGTCTCCTCTCCATATTGCCTTTGTACCCTGCTGCCTTCATCATCAGGCTAATTCACTTTCACTTGACATGAAATAAGGAACAAAGGAGCCGTGGCCACGCGATGCTCCCGCAGCACCTCCGTTTGCCACATCAGTCCAATTCCAAGTTTTATGGCAGAAATTCGCCAAAATCCACGCAAAAGCAAAATCTTGGGAGAGGGTGGGGTGGTGGAGGGATGTGATGGATGGAGACGAGGGAGGGGTGGGGGTGCACGAATATGAGCGTGTGTGCATTTTCAAGGCGGTCTTTTCTGTTGCAGGAAAAAAAAAGAAAACAGTAGTCCAACAGGAAAAGCTGCTGATGAAGGAATGGAAATGCTGCTCAGTGGCTGAAAGCGACGTCCGGACGGAGGTCTTAGCGCTGCAACGGAGGCTTGAGAGGAGGCGAGGTGCGATTTTAGTTCAAGATAAGTGGAGCCACCTCAGCGGTGTGTGAGAGAGGGGCACGGAGGCGAGGGAACCGGAGGGGTGGGGGTGTGTGGACCTAGCTGCCTACGGGACCCACTCAGGCTGCCCGATTGTGCTCCTCCGCTCTCATCATTTGCTTTCTGGAGGTGAGGACAAAAGAGGGGGGAAAGGCCCGGGATCCGAGCGTCGTGACGGGGCCCCCCGACTTCGCCGCCGCTGGTCGGGGCTGTCAGAACTGGAAAGGCTGAAGGGAAAGCGGCGGAGCGGTCGACTCTAGGCTGGGGTTTCCTGCCACAGCGGCGGGATTGTCACCGTTGACTCTTCCCTTCGCGGGGCCTGGCTTCGCGACGTTTTCAGGTACGCTCCTGGAGCGTTAGCTAGCCTGTCCGGGGCTTGCTCGCGCTCGCCCTCCCGGTGTTTACCGGAGCAAATGTCAGGCTGCGTGACGGGGCTTTTGTAAAGCAGGACTCACGCCAGCGCACAGAAAAGCGTATTTATGCTAGCTAACCTGGAACATCTGAATCCAATCACCTCTTAGGCTAAGCCCGCTGTTCGCTACATTTAGCCTGTTATAACATAAAATACGCTCTTAGTGACGTAATAACCACACAAGGGAAGATGCTAACGGGTAGCTTTAGCTTAGCTCGTGCTGTTTTAGTGGCTGTGTCTCATATTTAATGAGGTATTTCACCTAAAGCTAGCTTCCGTGGCTAAAAGGCAGCAGTACAGAGCTAATTGTGATGCGTATACCTTCCCACTGGACACTGTAGAAGCTAGAACTGCGGTACTAACCCCCCCAGTCTGGTATCGATGGTAATGTGACAAACAAACACAGCTAACGCAGCCTTTCTTTGCGGTGACACCGTTCACGCTTCTGTCAGTTACTCCCGCAGCTGATGGATCTGCTGGCTGCACCGAGCTGCCGTCTAATTAAACACTGCTTTGTGTTTAATCAGCGGCGCTGCCTTGTGCACAGTGAGGTGCAGTGATTGTGAACTGGAGAAATTGAATTTTGAGCCAGATTGCAGCTGGATGTTGAGTCAAACTGCGAAGGAGCTGAGGTGACAAAAGATGGGATGGTGTTTCCAGGTCATGGGTCAGCACCTCTGATGGCTGATGGAGCCATTTTTACTGAATAGTAATGTAACTTCGCCTAAATATCCAGTTAGATTATTTGTACAAAACTACCTTCTGCTTTTACAGCAGCTTGAGTCAAATATGTGAAAATCGTTGTTTTCTGGCAGATTTGATGTGACGTTACTCAGATTGTCAGAGAGTTGAATTAAAAATTATGATGTGAATCAAAAATATTAGCTTGAAAGCAGTGATGCACCGATCTGAAATTTTAGGGCCGATCCCGATATTAACTCATTCGCTGCCAGCGTTTCTCGCCGTTTTTACGGTTTCTTTAAGAGCGACAGAACATTGCGCGCTAGGATGATGTCGAAGCCAAAACAACCAAAACAAAGCGGAGACTCACCTCTTACATCAGGAAGAATCCGTGTGTTTCGAACGTTATGCGTTCTTTCATAATCCGTTGTTGAATTGTGATCGGCAGAAGCTTTTCCGGTTCGCGCCTCACTTTTTTTTTTTTACGGGAACAGCCCAAAACGATCTCCTAACACATGGATGTTCTGCTTCCTGATCACGTGACGTGTGACGTACGCGGATGAAGATCGGCTTTAGAGCTGAGATGTTTGTTCTTTCGGTGTGGGGGCTCGTCCGATGCCCACACAGTAAAAATATGCAAATGACAACTTTAGTCGTCAATGGCAGTGAACGAGTTAAGATCACTGTTATGGCCGATAACCGATATTTGCCGGTACCGATATACTGACATGAATGCTTCTAAAATCAGCAATTTTGTATAAAATGAAAATTAGGGTTAAGGCTGAATTTACATTATTTTGTACATACAACACACACATTTACGCTTCTGAGATTATTTCATTCAGTGTTCACATGACTAAACAAATACACATCACCCCCCTCACCCTCTGAAACACGCAAACAGATCGAGACAAGATGGAAGAAATATTGGTTGTTAATATCGGCCCAGTTTTATTAATCGGACCGATACCGATATGTTAAAAAATGACTAACATCGGCTGATCCCGATATTGATGCTGTTATATTGTCCGTCCCTACTTGAAAGTAAAAGTAGTCGCTACATTTGCGGTGAAAACTGGAGACATTTGAAGCTAATTCTCATGCTGAAACGACAAGAAGCGTCCTACCTCTGTTATCGGTGTCTTTGTTGTGGAAAATTGTTGCTTTTTCAAACATTTAGAAGGGAAAGCTGCTAAAACAACACCTTTCTATTGTCAACCTCAATAAAACATTCAGCTTTGTGCTATTCTTTAGGAGTTACTTCATACTAGCTGTCGACCAGTACTGGTTTTTCTGTTGCTGACACCGATGGCCAATATATACTACCAATTTTCATGACCGATATCTAGACATTCTCCACCTTATTTTATGCTAAATTTTTACTAATAAGTTGATGCTCAAAATTTCTGAAGCTGAATCAGTTTTTGAATTTTGAATTCAACTTACTAATAAATCATAACTCTGCGCACCGCGCAGTGTTAAAATCAGACGTCTAAAAAAAAGTTAATTTAGAGTATTTATTATGCATATGTTGTTAGTGAACAAAAAAAAAAACATTTTTATTACATTTTGTGACAGCAACAAGCTGCCCGAGGACGCGCCTGACTTTAAATCGGCTTAAATAAGGACAAACATCGGCCGGCGGATATAACGGTTTACCCCTACTTCATAGGGACATGCACCGTGGAGGGTCTGTGTAGAAGACGTCCATGCATTTAGTTTTTTATGATTAAAATAAACAATCTTGAGTTGAACTTTCACATATTTGAAAATTTCGAATCTAACCAAGTCTACAGGAGCAGTTGGATGCCAACATAATATACAGAAAATAATCAAACTGACTAGTTTACATGAAACAATTGCTGTTTAGACCAAAATAGATCTCAAAAATCTCACAGATTTGTATTTTTTATCGGTCAGCCAGCGCTTGAGGGCAAAACACTAATTCACTATCGCCAGTCTTCTGTATGGATCTTTTTACCTCCAGAATCGTAATTTTCGAATCGATCCAAAATGTGTTTTGTTCATTTTAGTACTTATAAATCCATCTGAGTCTTCCAAAGATTCAATTCAATTCAAGTTTATTTATAAAGAGCTAAGAACAAGTCGTCATTAAAGCTCTTGTGTGTGAAGGCAGACAACCTGAGACTTTAGGTGATATTGGCCCCTTTTACTTCTCTCGTGATTCAATTCAATTCAATTCAAGTTTATTTATAAAGCGCCAAATCACGACAGTGTCGTCTCAAGGACCTTCACATGGTGAACATCCCAGTCCAGGTCAGTTAATTAAGCCAATCAGTAAAAAGTTTCATATATTAGGAACCCAGCAGGTCGCATCAATTTACAGCAATCCTCATACTAAGCAAGCATTGAGCGACAGTGGAGAGGAAAACTTCCTTTTAACAGGAAGAACCCTCCAGAGGATCCTGGCTCAGTATAAGCAGCCATCCACCACGACTCACTGGGGATGGAGAAGACAGAGCAGACGCACACACACACACACACACACACACACACACACACACACACACACACACACACCAAGATGGTTTCAGCAGGTCGAAGTTGTTCAACAATAAGAAGCCAACGGGAGTGTGTGACGTTGGGTTGATTGGGTGTAATTGGTTTGTTCGGTAGCCGACCTGTTTTCTGATTGCTTGTAATAACGAAGCCTAGGCCTGGGCGATAAATCAATTTAATGAATTAAATCGAATTTTTTGTTGTGGTTGATTAAAGAAAAAAGAAAATCAAATTTTTATGTAATAGCACCTTTTTGGCCCCCCAGAGCTTCCGTAGCGTTAGTTTCACATAACCGCGACAACAACGTCACAGCACGCACACGAAACAGCAACAGCAAGCGGTGAGAGTGGGAAGTTTGTTCCTAAGAAAAGAATAAAATCATCCGCTGTTTGGAATTGGTTTGGGTTTGCTGCGACGGACATGGAGCGTGGCCCTTTTATACCAAGAGGGTGTTCGTGTATTTATTATTATTCATCTCAGAAATGAGGGTTACATTTGTCTTGCTTGTGAATAAATAAACAAAATTGGCTTTAGGGTGCTTTACATTTGTACTTATTGCTATTCTTCATAATTGAGGGGGAGAGAGAATCGGGAAAAAATCGTAAATCGACGGTGGCACAGGAGTTAAGTGCTCGCCCCGTAATCGGAAGGTTGCAGGTTTGAGTCCCGCTCAGTCTGTCGCTGTCGTTGTGTCCTTGGGCAAGACACTTAACCCACATTGCCTGCTGGTGGTGGTCGGAGGGACCGGTGGTGCCAGTGCTCGGCAGCCTCGCCTCTGTCAGTGCGCCCCAGGGCAGCTGTGGCTACATCGTAGCTCATCCCCACCAGTGTGTGAATGTGTGTGTGAATGGATGAATGACTGATGGTGTTGTGAAGCGCCTTGAGGGTTCCAGGACTCTAGAAGGCGCTATATCAAATACAGGCCATTCAAAAAAATGTAATCGGAGATTTTATTTCTAGGCCGTATCTCCCAGGCCTAACGAAGCCTTCTGTAAGAGAGGCTGGCCGCAGGTGTTTCAAAACTATGAACCAAATGATGACATCATGGGAACAGATCAACAGGTTCTGACGTTAATGCTTTGTGCTGAATGCGTAAGGTGCGATGCAGACTCTTAACGTCTGTAAAGGCGTCAAACCGTACGTAAACATCGATGACGATAACGTCTGTGATGCTAAACGTGGAAGAGTCAGAGATTACGTTTTTACTAAAATAATCTGAACATCTTATTATGTCATCTTTAGGGTTGGGCGTCGAGCATCGTTTGGAACCGGTTCCGACTGTTAGTTTTTCCCGGAATCGTTCAAAGTTTATTTTTTCGATTCCTAGTATTCCGACGGAAGAGGAATCCGCGGCCGATCTCCGTGAAAAATAAACCTGATCTGCAAATTGTGATCAACGCTTTTCAGAGCTGATCACACCAGCTGTCCGTGTGCAGCACGAGTCTTTTTTTCCTCCAAAACCTGTTTTTGTCTAAATGAAGGCGATGTCGTTGTTCACAGAATTAAAATTCATGTTGAAGTTAAGATTATTTCATCAAGTAGGACCTGTGCTTAGCTGGCTCATGTAAAACATGTCATGTCTTGAAAGAATCGGAATCGGGAATCGATTGGAACCGGAATCGAAATGAGGAATTTGAATTGGAATTGGAATCGTTCAAAATCTAACGATGCCCAACCCTAATCATGTGATCAAACTGTTTCTCTGTCTAATTATTTGAACACAACAACAACAATTTAACAAGAGATGTTCGGTAAATATTTCTGCTTCTGACATGTTTCATTTGTCTTCCTGTCCTTCCAGAGACGACGTTTGGTCCTCGGCTCAAAACGAACTCCAGAAACATGGATCTACTCGGGACGAACTGGAATTGATGGAGCCTGAAGTGGCTGTTTCGGAAATGTTTTGCCGGTTTGAAATGAAATGGAAGATCACATGAAAACATACAAATGCTGACAAAGCATCAAGAGGAACCTAAAAAACTTGACCAAGTTTGGACCAAACAGGCCAAAAGTCCTTCCTGGATCTGAAACAACCTCTGATGGGATTATCCATGGAATGTTTTCCTCTTGGAGTGTTCAGTGAGGACATGAGTTTGGACCTTTTGATCCTGTTTCTGGGGTTTTTGTCTCGCCCGGGTGTGAGTCGGGTCCAGAGGAACCTGGTGTTTGTTTCTGAGGATTTGTTTGTTTTCTTTTAACTTTTAAAGTTTTTGTGCAATCGGATTACGGCTCCGTTTATTCCGGAAGCAGCTACGCTGAGCTGCCGTGCTGGTCCGTGTGAAGGCTTTTACTTTGGCGGCGATCGCCTGCTCCGTGCCAAACGGCTTCACCTTTGTGGAAGCGACTGCCTGTTTTTAATCTGAAGGAGAAATTAGCTTCCACGCTTATTTCTGTTGAAAAAAATCCTCGTAAAGACGAGATGAAACGACCTACAATCACAAGAGAAATGTACAATTTTTAAGAATCTCCAGTTCGTCATCCTTATCCTGAACCGATTTTAACATCTGTCATATATTTTTACCTTGCTTTTGCTCTTTATTGGACCTCCCTGCTTTACTGCCAGGCTGTAGACTCTCTCTCTATGATTACAGCCATAAGCACTCCAGTTTTACATCTAAGTCATTCCCTGATATAGATACTGACGGATATTTTTTTATCTTTTTAAGTCCAAACTTGGAGCAAAAACGATGCAGAATTTCCCTAACAGTGCCGCTCCACCCCCCATCCCTCCTGGGTTCGGCGGGAGGGGTGTGGGCGGGTCGTATCCCCCTCAGCCAGCAGAGCCCCAGATCTCCCCGAGGATGACAGATGATTATGTAGGGATGCAGCAGCAGAGCCTGCACCGAGGCCATGCCCACCCCAGCCAAGCCAGCCACATGCTCGCCTTCAGCTCCAGAAGCAGAGGAGCTCTGGAGCCGCCGCCAACACAGGGTAACGTTCACAGTGGCAGCAACAGCAACCCCTACAGGAAGGATGCTGTGGATTATTATTTCTCCATGGGTGGAAAGGACAGACACAGAAGAGGGGGAATGGGTTACGGGGGAGGATTTGGGTATCCCAATATTGATGGACATATACCTCACCAGTACCGGCATGCTGGATCTAGCGCTACCCCTTCATCTGCTCTGATGTCTCCATATCCAGTGGAATATGGCTCTGGTGCAGGTTCGGGAGGAAGTACTGGAGCCTTTTCTCCTTCTCAACAATACAATCTAAATCAGACGGTGCCAGGCCCTCAAATTCAGCAGCGCCAGCATGGGCAGCCCTTTCCAGCTGTCCACCAGCAGCACAGGAGCTACACGCACGCCGGGCATCGAATGACCCCGCAGTACTCGCATTACTCTCCGCAGGGTGGAGCCTCCGCGGGGTCACCAGGAATGTACAGCCCCCCTCCACAGAGATATCTCGACGGAGCATCAAATCCGGGCTTTGATCCTAAAGCCAGCAGCTCTCCCAGTGTCACCAGTTCCACTCCAGCTGCTGCTAACAGTGTGGGGCCAGTGGAGAGTGTTCTGCAGAATTTCCATGCTTCAAATTATCCCGGATATCCACTGCAGTCGCATTCCCTTCACAAGCAGGCCGCACTACATCACCGCAACTCGCAGCACGTCTTAGGTTACGACAGCCCTCTCAAGATGGCCCACCGGGGTCCGTCTCCCGGTTCCGCCTACACCAAACACCATCCGGCGTCCGCTTCCAGTGTAGCTCAAACAGCGTCTCAAGAAACGACCAAATCCCCGATGCACTCGAACGCACAGCAAAGTCAGATTCATCAGAACTTCAGCCCCATATCCAACCCGTCCCCAGCTGCTTCCGCCGTTCATTCCCCCACGTGTAGCTCCTCCCCTTCCCCTTTGATGGGTATCTCAGAGGCACACGGAACCCCCTCGAGTCACGCTCCCTCACATCCCTCTTCATCAAACGCTCGCAGCAGCCACGGCCACGTCAGATTACTGCAGACAACACCTCAGTTAAGTCCCACGCCCAACTCCAACAGCAGCGTCAGTAGTTGCGGCAGCAGTGGCAGTCACAAAGCTCACAATCTGAGCGCGGCTGGAGGGAGCAGCCTTCTTCCAGTGGGCCGCAGCAAAATGGGCCAAGGCTCTGGAGTGAAATCCCGAGAGGAAGGCCCTTTTGTTTACTCCGCTTCTTTGCTGGATAAAATGCAGGACGCTGGCTTGAATAGCCTCAACGCCTTGAGCTCCCAAGTAGCCAATTTACCAAACACCGTTCAGCACATGCTCCTCACCGACACAGTGTTCTCTCACAAGAAGAAAGATGGCGGGCAAGTGCAACACCACGACCAGCCCCAGCCACAAGCAGTTAGTCGAAACGCCAGCACTGCCTCAAGCACGGGCAAAGACGGAAGCGTCACGAGGACTAGTGATGGCCTCGATGTGGGAGGCTCGTCGGAGTCCAAAGAGGACAGAGAAGAGCAGTTTTCTGAGGGGGAACATGGAAGAGCGAGGCAGATGAGCGGTGTGAGCAGCGGGTCTGAAGCAGCAGGCTATAATCAGACACAGACTAGACAAATATCAAATGTTAAAACAGTCGCCTGTGACTCACAGTCATTGGAAGCCGTTGTCACAGAAACGAAAACAAAAGAAGCTCACATTCCTTCATCGTCGCCATCTCCATCAACACCTCCGGTTTCCTCCTCCCCGTCGTCCACCTCCTCCAGTTTCCCTCCCGTCACGGCGCAAAACTGTGTCCCAGAAACTGGTTTGGCGCATAAGGACCACAGAGGCGTGCAAATCAAACGTGAGAGTGAAGTCGCGGTTGAGAAAACGCAGAAGGTCGGCCGGCAAACGCAGCACGACAAACAGGTCGGCCCAAAAAACGGACAGGACAAGGAGAACATGTTACACTTGGAATACAAAACGCACAGCAACAGGAGAGAAGACAGGGACGCGTCAAAGGAGCAGCAGAACGCCGGCGGCGTTGGTGTGATCGTTTCACCGCGGTCCGAGGAAAGTCACACGGAACAAAGCAAGCATCCCCAAGGCAACTGCGTTGAAGAAAAGCAGTTGCACTCGTATTTAAAAGAGTCAAGTAGCCACAACGGAGAGGAGGGCGTGGATTTGAGTCTGTATTCTTCTCATCATCAGAAATCAAACAGTGGAAGGTCTCAGAATCCTTCCCAGTCTGGATCACATAAATACAGCCATCCAGAGTCAACATATGGCTCGGATTTATCTATGAAGAGCAGAATGAGGGCCGGCTCCGTGGGAGTAATGGAAACAAACCCCAGATACTTATCATACCAGCTCTCACAAACGGGTTACGGTCCCGTGCATCCCAAAGATGCCGGTTCCGGTGTCAAGGCTTCGGTGAAGAGCGGTCAGGGGGCGGGATCTAAAGCTCAGGAGGAGAATTCCCAAATGCAGCAATTCCCAAGCCTTCTGCAAGAAGTTCTTCAAGGTTACAATTTAGACAGACGCTATGTTAGGCCAGAGCAGGCGTTTTCTGCACATCATCAAGTCCAACAGCAGTTTTCAACCAGACACCCTTTTGTTGTGGCTGAGAGTGCGCAGGTGCACGGTGAGAGTCCGGCTTATTCTGCTGGAAAGCCTCCAAATCAGAAGCACGTGAATGAGTCGGAGTTTTCTGCAGATGCAGTGAAGTCGGAGATCTCCAGCGCTAAAATGTTTTACAGTGCTGAAAAAGCTGATGGTTATTCATCACAGAGCCATTTACCACGAGCGGCAGAGTCTCCACAACCCCCGGCCAAACATATCAACCTTTCTGACTTCACTCTGCCCCGGAGAAAAGTCCCGTCCAACGTCCCGTCCCCTTCCTCGGCCGTGCAGGAGCTCCTCCTGCAAGAGCCCGAACCGTTAGCAGGCGTCGCCAGTAAGAGCAAAGCTCAGAAATTATCCGGCTCCTTATTAACCTCGTCTGAGCGGCGCTCTGTCATACGCGACGCGTCTCCCAATCAGAACAGCGCTCCAGAGCGGGACAGGGAGGGGGAGTCTGAAAGGAGTCAGAGTGGAGCGTCTGTGATTCAACAGCCGTTCTCCTCTCCAGCTGCACCGAGGGATCTTAGTAAAAAGGATGCGGGCGAGAAACACGCCATCAAAATGGAAGCGACATCAAAAGAGGCAGGGGCCGATGCTGCGCACTTACAAGCAGAGCATCGCGGTAGTGATGGGGTCAGCGAAGCAGACGTGGAGTACCTGTCCAAGCCTTCGCCCTATAGGCGAGGCAGTGCGGACATTACCCCGATGCCCTCCCATCCCATGAGCACAAACCCTTTGTCATCACTATCGAGGCCTCACTCCTACCTTCACGGTGTCGATCTCTCGGTTGGCAGTGGAGGAGCGTTTCCTGGATATCAGTATGGAGAAACAAGAGAGAGGAGTATGATGTCACACAGTGGTCCGCACTTCTCCTCCCACCACCCTTACCACCATTTACCTCCGCAGCCTCAGGCCACAAACAAGCTTCAGATGTATCCTCACCCCCGTGGGCCCCCTCATCCTCCCCATGACATGAGCGAGTGGGTGAAAGCCATGAACAGGTCTTCGAAGGAGATGATGGTTCAGCACGGCTCTTCTCCTGGACGTCACAAGGGCAGCCAGCCAGAGCCGAGACAGAGAGTTATCGCCCCGACGAACGTGCCGGGCGATCAACTCAAAACCCCGTCGCTGCATCCCCAAGGCGCTTACTACGAGATGAAAATGTGGGACTCTGCGCACTCGGTAAGAGAGGGTGCTCGAGCGACAGAAGGAGACCCCTACTTTAGACCACAACCTCAAATTCCTGTAGTTGCACACGGTCCTTCGCAGATGGTTCACGCTCAAAGTTCAGTGGAATCTGAAGTCATCAGAGGAGCCCCGGAACAGCCCAAACATCCCTGCCCAGCTCCTCCGTCCAGCTCCGCCAAGCCGCCCTCCGACATCACCTCCACTCAGCCGCCGGTGCAGCGTCACACTAAAGCAGGCGCGTCTGGAGACACGAATCCTCTCATGTTACGGAGGAGGGTTCGCTCCTTTATCTCTCCCATTCCTGCCAAAAGACTTCACCAAGATTCCTCCCAGCAGAGAGCTGCCACAAATTCGCACCACTCCCCTGGGGCGCAGTCCGAGTCCAGCCATCACAATGAAGATGACTCATCTAGTTCAGAGCTGCCATGTCCCAGACTCTCATCCCCCCTACCGGGGGAGAGTACGTTTACGCAACCTCTGTCTCCGTCAGGGGGCAACGCAAAGGTGCTGTCTGCCAGAAAGGGGCGAGGATTAAAACTGGAGGCGATAGTGCAGAAAATCACCCCCAATATTAAAAAGCCAGCAGGCTACGTTGACGATGAGTCCAACCATTTTTCTGGCTTCTCACACTCAGAAATACCCAGATTCAATGACTCCCAGGACCACGATTTGCATTTCCCCAGAGCGGTGGGAGGAGATGACGGCTACATGGATGACAGCCACTCTTTAAATGACATTATTCCCTTCAGAGGAGTTGACGACGTCGGGCCTTTACCTACGTCCACCTACCCTTGTGACTCCAGTCAGACTTCTCAAATCAAACAACAAGACTTTGACTTCGGTTTAGGAGCGGGTGTTTCATCGGTGTCTGGTGACAAGGAGGACTTTGCTTTGCTTGGACCGTTACCGCCACCCCCTCCTCTACCACGTCCAGTCCAGGGTTCCCCGCCTCCGTCTTCATCTGCTCTATCGGACATTCAGCATTTCACAAGCACCTACCAGCAGCTGGAGACTCGAAAGGGAGAGCAGTCTGCGGCTAATCTTCTCAGACAGAAACTTCAAGAGACTGGAATGGGATTTGACGATTACCCTGGCAGCGACTACTATGGGACCACTTCGCCCCACCAAGGACACATGGCGGGCCGGCATCAGTTGTCCTCTGGAAGGTCCAGTCTGTCACCACAAGATTCAAAGCCCCTAGACAGTGTTGTGCCTAAAGGTTATTTTCCATCCGGCAAGAAAAAGGGCAGACCCGTAGGGAGTGTGAATAAGCAAAAGCGGGCTCAGAGCCAAGTCCAAACACAGGCTCAGACTCAAGTCCAGACTTTAACCACGCCTCCAAGTGCTCCTCCCGCCCCACCCACTCCAACTCCGGCAGCTGCCTCAACCCCACCAATATCACTGACTGCCAGCAGCACCTCCACCCCCACAGAGCCCGCTCCGGAAGAAAACGCCTCTCCTCTAGCCCCGCCCATTTTAACACAAGTGGTGAAAGTAGACGTTGATTGCGAGGACACACAGCCAGAGACGGAGGTGAAGCCGGTGCGACAGAGACGCCGAGGGCCAAAGTATGAAGATGGGCCACTGGGAGTGGAGGTACAGCAGAGGAGGAGGAGGAGAGGGCCTGTCATGCCGCCACCCCGGATGGCCAAATGTGACTCCGATGCCCCTTCTGGAGCTGGAGGGGGGTTCAGCACAAGCAGGGTTTTCATAGATCCTAGCAGAAAAGGTCTGTTCATTCCTCACATACACGTAGAGAAAAAAGTGCCAGAGATCGGAGCTGTGTGTACTATTGTAAATGCTGAGGAAGACAAGATGAAAGGAGAGCGTAGTGCAGTTGGAGGGAAAGCAGGTGGAACCGATTCCCTCCTCATGTCGGCCCTTTGCTCCCAGTTATTAAGGAGAGACAGAGAGTCAGAGAAGAGGGAAGCAGATGAAGTGGAGACGACACTTCAGTCAGGCAAAGCCCTTCCTTCGTCTGGCCATGTTGTTTCAGGCCCTGTGATCACCGAGACCAACCACTCCGGACGCCTGCTCTGCTGTCTGTGTCAGAAATGGGCAAATTACAAACACCTCGGAGATCTCTACGGGCCTTACTATCCAGCCGAGTACGCCGCAAAGCTCCCCAAGAACCAGCCCCAGATCAGACAGTGTCAGGCCACCGCAGGCACAAACAAACCTGGACCAAACTCGGAAGTCGGCGCCAACGCTTTGGTTGCCATGCTGGAGCCACAAACCCAACTGTTCTCCAACGCCACGACGGCGCGCGACTGTGCTGCTAGCATCAGTTCAGACCCAACCTCTTTTACAAATGCCATCAGATCTGCCTTTTCAGCTGGAAAGCTGCTTGCTAGCACCACCCCGTCACCTTCGCCCTCCATCACTCTTAAACCACCTTTGACCTGGGATGTAAATCCAGAAATCATGTCCCTCCCTGAGCTCAAGAGAGAGCCCGACTTTGACCAACAGCAGCCACCAAAACAGCCACCAGACGACGCTCAGCAGAGACCCCAGCACAGGAAGCTGACCTCACATCCCCGCTTCAAAAGGAGGCACAAGTCTAGCGAAGCGTCCCCCAGAATGGTGCCATCCAACAGTAAGGCGTCTCTGCCTTTCCAGCCCCCTCCACCCGCACTGGACTCCCTGGGACCCTTGGCACAACTCGCACAGCTGCCTCAGATGCCCATGGACCCGGAGGAGCTGTGGGTTCACGAAGGATGCATAGTGTGGACCAGTGGGGTGTACCTTGTCAATGGGAGACTGTATGGCCTGCAGGAGGCACTAGATGGCGCCAGAGAGACAGTGAGTGTCAACTGTACTTGACCAGAATGAGATCTGAGACGGTTGTTGTATTTTAAAGCTATAGAAGAGAATGGCGTAACTCTGAACGTGTCTTGATGTTCTCAGAGCTGCTCGTACTGCGAGATGGTTGGGTCCACCCTGGGCTGCTACAGTAAAGGCTGCACACTTCGCTACCACTACCTTTGTGCTATTGAAGCAGGTGAGATGAAAGTAGAGCTCCTTCCTCGCGCTGTGCTCTAACTTTTTTCATCATTTATTAATATCCTTTATCCCTTTACTAGATTGTTCTCTGAATGAAGACAACTTCTCTCTAAGGTGTCCGAAGCACAAGGTAAAAAAAGAGAGGTTGGTTTTTATTTCTCTTAACCACTCGGTGGTGTTTATTTTCCCGAAGTTTTGCTCCGCAAATTTCCTGATCGGTTCTCCTCCCTGTTTGTTTTCTTTTGTGTCTTTTCGTCTCTTTAATCAGTTTACCCAGAGCCTTCGGCCCGCCAAGTCAGTGTTTGTGGAGCAGTCAGAGAGAGGCTGAGAGAAAAGGTGAAGAAGAGGAGACACGGGAGTCTGGGAGCAGTAAGTTCAAACTTCTCTGTGGTTTTGATTTGAATTAGAGTTCATTAGATGGACTCGTTTATCGTCTGGTTAAAGCTGTCTTAGTACAGGCAGCTGGTTAGGCACATGACATAGCTGCTTGTCTCTTTTTGGTGGCAAATGCCCAAAAGTAAGGTTACTAGATTATGATGCTGTTTATCTTTAGAGCTGCAGCTATCGAATATTTTTGTAATCGAGTACTCTAATAAATGACCCTTTTGTGTTTGTAAACCCTTACATCAAATAGCATATTATAAAATATGAAAGACCCTTTAAAGGGACTTTACGGAGTTTTGAATTTTTATGCTCGTGATTGCCCCCTCAGGCCAAAAGTGTAACGGCAGCTTCAATAGTAGGCTCATGCACGTGGCGCGCATGCTGTACGTGCACACCCCTTAATGAAAATAACAGCTGAGACAGTCCCGTGTGTGTGTGTGTGTGTGTGTGTGTGTGTGTGTGTGTGTGTGTGTGTGTGTGTGTGTGTGTGTGTGTGTGTGTGGCCCGGAGGACAGAGGACAGGAGAACGCACAGCTAATTAATTAAATAATTTGGTTCTGTAGCTTTCTCTTCAGCACAGCCGACAAAGGTTTATGATGGGTCAGTCCTCCTGCATGCTCAGATCATTCCCTTCCCTTGCTTGAAAAATTGTTCCAAAATGAAAGTTGAACCCACATCTTTTTTATCTGTGAATTCAATGCCGTTCGGCGAGTCTCAAATAAAAGTTTGGGTATCTTACTGTAAAAAAATATACCATTAATGTAAAAAAGAAACTCTAAATAAACTATGTTCACATCCAGAATCAAACCCGGGTCTTCTGCACGAGAGTCCGACGTTTTACTAGGTGAGCTATAGCACCAGTGACGTCTTCTGTATCTGTAACATTTATATTCTTGATGACAGCTGAAACAACGTCCAAAGAACGGTTCGGAGCAAAAATGGCTATTTTGTTGCTAATTTGCAGGAAATATCTAGAAGAAAGTTCTACAGAAAGTAGCTAAGGGTCCTCAGAAATGTAGCTAGCTTTGTCACTAGGCGTTAGGAACAGCAACAAAGTGGCACTGCCTCTCTCTCTGCTGCTAAAGCTACGGATAGCAAATGCTACGGGCGATGCCTGAGCGTGAACGTGCATGAAGCAGCCTGCTCGACCCGAGCATCTCTCTTTTTCTGTGATTTTACAGAAAAACAGGCAATCACAGTAAAAATGCCAGGGCTCATTCTACAGGACCAGGGCATTGCAGGAGAATGTATGAAGAAGACATTTATTATTTCTATACATGTTTTGGCTGTCAAACTTCCATTATGTCCCTTTAAAATGAGCAAGCTATTGCCAGTTGTTATTCTTCAAGTTTTATTCAAAATTAGTTTTCAAAACTTCAGCACTTCAACTTTACTTCACAGTAAACAAACGCCTGTGCAAAAAATAAATATACAACCTGAGCCGATTTTCCCCTCGTGCGAGAATCTACCAGAACCGCTCACGGCGCATGCGCAAACATGGCTCGCCAGCTGTTTCCCTATTAACACACGTCCGTTTTAATTTCTACACTTTTTTCTCTCACACTAACAAGGATTGTCGAAAGCATGTTTGCTGTGGTTATGTCAAATTATACTGATCACAAAACATTTATTTACTTTCTATCGTTTTCCTCCGCCACTCATAAATACCCGTGTCCTCCTGCAGCAATCCTGAGGGACAACGGACATCAATAACAACACAATAAAAAGTCTGACATGTTGTAAAAACTGCTATTTTTAGCACATTTTAGGTCCGACGTGTTGCTACCAGACGTACGGTGTGAGCTGAAAGTGAGTGCTACAAACGAAAAAGTCGCACAGTGTCTGCAGAATATATAGAAATACAGGCTAAAACGCATTATCTTGTAGAGGCTCCGAGTCCGCTTGCAGAAGTGACATTTACATGTGGATGTTTCCTGGTCAGGTGCTGCAGCATGGAGGATGTGGTGTTGTGGTAGGCTAGATCCATTTTACAGTATTTACACTGGACTACGTTTTCCGCCTTACCACGTGAAAAATGCTCCCACATCTTTGACATTTCTTGTCTTTTTCGCACTCCACCGGGGTCCACGTGGTCCGCCATGGCTTAAGAGAAAGTTAAGTTACAGTCGCTACTTGCGTGTGCATTCAGTGCAGTGTGCATGTGCGTCGCTTATTTCGGTCCGGGTGAAACACGACCCCGGGCGATTGCAAAGCCATGAATTAATTAAACATGAATTAAACGAAGCCTCGAGGCAGAGAACTTGACTCAAGGATTTTTTTGTACTCGAATTATTCGAGGTAGTCCAGGAATCGTTTCAGCCCTAAAATAGATATTAGATCGTTTTTTCTGTCCACGTTTTTGTTGTTGTTTTTGTCTGATTTAGGTATTTTCATCCTTAGAACGAGAGAGTCTGCTCCGTTCCTTTCCTTAACATGGTACGAACACCCGTACATGTACACATAGACACAGTTTAGATACTGTCGGAAGTACTGCAGGACGATGAATGGATTTTATTTATCCATTCAAATTTGCTGTTTATGAGGAATTCATTTCGTGGGGGGGGTACACTCCTGGTAGTTCAGAGTAAACTCAGCCTGCATATCTCTCTCATGTTGGACTAAAGCAGTCTGCACGAATGCTTTTCCCACCACCCTAATGTTAAGATTTTAGCAGAAAGAAGTAGGAATTGGTCAAATAATCCGCTGCCGTGTGTTCTCTCGTGCAGAGTTAGCCCGCTACTACCGCTCTGCTGTTAGCTTTCGCAGCAGCTTTCGTTAATGGTGTTGGAAACGCTTTTCTCTTCAGTAGAGGAGGAGCCTTCGTACCAGTCAGTACCAATACAACACAAGCTAGCATTAGCACCCTAGCAACAAGCTAACCAAAACATTAGCAAACTGAAATACCAGCTAGTTAAAGGGTAACGTATGAACGTGTTGGTGGTAGGCAGTTAGCATAGCTGCAATCCAAGCATTAGCCTGACCCGGGTTCGGTTCCCAGCCAGCGCGGATGTTTTTGATCTTAGGAAAGTTGTTTTGTTACGGTGCTGTTGTGTATCTCTGATCTCACACATACAAGTAGAGATGTACAACACCAAAGCAGTGAATCGTGTTGGTCTACATCAGGGGTCGGCAACCCGCGGCTCTGGAGCCGCATGCGGCTCTTCCATCCATCTGATGCGGCTCTCTGTGCTTGTAAAATAATGAATGGATATTTAAATAAAATGCTTTATATTTTACTGCATTAATTTTACATCTGTATGCCAATTCTAAATGTAAAGATTGTCTGCGTAAACCTGAACAGGTCCAGCCCGGTCTTACTGTGAGACCGGGTTGACGGGTCACGCTTGTGCGTAATCATTTAGGTGCTTTCTGAGCTGAAGAAGATGTGAGATTCTGGGCTTCTCCTCAGACGGCTCATGGATGTGTCGCCACATTGGAGACAGGAAAAAGCACTATTCAGCCAAAGTTTCATAATCAGGGAGCATTTTCTAAGTGACAATTGCTTCAGTCGGAGGAATCTTCCCGCATGCGCTCTGGTTCTGCGACGCGCTCCAAGCCCCTCTCCACATCTTCAGCTCGCTGTGCACCGTACGTACGCGCTGACAGCGAGCTGCACTGAGCAGTGTCTAGCTCAGATGTTCAGATGGGAATCTTTTCTTGAGTGATTTAGCTACATCTGCGATGTGCGAAACAAATAAAATGTCAGTTCGTCTGCATGCGTCGGGGTAATTTTTTCTATTCTTTCTCCGTCAAAATAAACGGTCAAATACGGGAACTATCCGGTCAACACAACACAAGCCCTGCTTTTAACTGTTATGTTTTCTTGTGAAAATTGTTGCAAAGAGATATAATTTAACTTGATTACCACCAGAGCCAGGCGCACTGCGCCGTTGTCTCCGTCGCTGTAAATGAGGGAAAAACAAAATGATCGGATCCTTTTCTGACCTTCCCCACCTACAAAGTTTAATTACAACAATCAAACGTGACAGAGCCTGGATTTGTATTCTGAACAGTCTAAACATGTTTTAAAAAGAAACGTATGACAAAAGTGGCACCTGCTCAGTAAAACCACCAACAGGGTGAAAAATATCAAAATATTGTCGGCAGAGACGGGCTACAACTTCTGGATCCACTTTATATAAATCGTTTTATTGATTATCGTCTTATGAAAGATAACTTTGACGCACACGAGCGACCGGTACCGGCTGCTGTCACCTGTTGTGATTGGTTAAAGCAGCTCTCTGCTGTCTGAGGGTAGGCCCCGCCCACAATGCCGCGGCTGCTGTGGTTCCCAGTGTTTACTGTGGGAAACGGGTAATAATGGCTCTTTGATGGGAACAGGTTGCCGACCCCTGCTCTAGAATATTCTGAACTGTCATCAGCTGCCTTCATGCTGTCCAACTTTCTGAAACTTCTGAATGTTTGACAGAATGAAGTGAAAAATAACAATCCGGTCAGAACAGCAGCTGGAAGTAAACAGTTCAAACATTGGCGGCCCAAAAGTCAGTCTTAAGTAGGGGCCATATGACTTAATTTTTTTTAAGTCGACAGTCAAGTAATGAAAATCTAGTCGACTTTGACTAATCATTGATGACGTCATACACCTGAAGTGATTAAAACTGACGATGGGTGACCAAGCGTTTTTTTCCGACACACGTAGGAGCAACGCTCTGGCACAGCGCGTCGTTTTTGATGCCCGCGGTAAAACGGAGATTTCACCAAATTGTGACCTTTACCCAGTATGTCAGTCTAAGTTTTCCGTTAAGCGTGTTTGAGAGGAACGATGAAACGCGAAACAAAAATTTGCATGTGCAAGCTGGTTAAGGTTAGGATGGGGGTGAGGGGAAGGTTAAATTGCAAGAGGGTAAAGGTCACAATTCGGTCAAATGTTCGTTATACCGTGGGCGCTCTGGCACAGCCCATCGCCTCCTAAGCTAGCGCGTAGCACGCGCATGATCAAGTAGAGTTCAGAAAAAATCGTGATGGTTTTGAATAAGTGGAAGACAAATCCCCACCGTCCCGTTTATGTGTGGATTTCTGCAGCTCCATGCAGCTGGCAGGGGCGCCTCCAGAAAATTTTGGAGGGGTTGGCCAGATGGGAAATTTTTGGGGTAACTCACCAAATTGGTCCTTGTGGTAACTCTGGGAGAATTTAGCCTGTGACGCCTTTATTAGTTTTTATTCAAATAAAGTACGTATCCAAAGCATTTAACTTAAATGTTACAAACAAACATTTTAGAAAAATACATGTCAGTTATATATAACGTTATCCCAAATTTTATTTAAAAATATATTTTTTGGGAGTTAATTCACCTGTTGCTGCGTTAAAAAAACTATGGAGATAAAAACTTTTCTAACATAGTGAGCAGCAGAAACATGTATTTTTTAATTCAGATTATTTCTTCACTCATTAGCAGTAATATTTTTTATTTTGTTTTACAATTTAGTCTTGAATCAACAAGATTAATATATTGTTTGACTGAACATTAATAAGATTTGCTAACACTGCATTTTCCTGGGGCGGGAGGGGGCAAGCAATTTTCTAGGGGTGGCAATGGCCACCCCTGGCCACCCTTTGGGGGCGCCCTTGGCAGCTGCTACCTGGACTCATATTCTTGCTGCATAGAGTCAGCGACTCGAGTCTACTCCACACACCCAAGAAGACTATGGCAAGCCGTTGTAACATGAAATTCACAAACGCTTCATTCAATATTATTATTAGTGTGTTTTATATGTGTTTTCTTAATATGTGCTTGTTTATTTTTAACTGTACACCACTTTGGTCGACAGTGTTGTGTAGAAAGTGCTTTAGAAATAAAATGGGATTGGATATATCTGAATACATTTTAGACTAGATTATGTTTCCAACCCATACATAATAAAACTTATAACAGCATCCCATTGTTTCTATAGAAATTAAATGTTCGTAGCATTTCCAGCAGCTTGCTACTTCAATTCAATTCAATTTTATTTATATAGCGCCAAATCACGACAAGAGTCGTCTCAAGGCACTTCACATAATAAACATTCCAATCCAGGTCAGTTCATTAAGCCAATCAGAAATAATGTTTCCTATATAAGGAACCCAGCAAATTGCATCAAGTCACTGACTAGTGTCAGTGACTTGATGCAATCCTCATACTAAGCAAGCATTTAGCGACAGTGGAGAGGAAAACTCCCTTTTAACAGGAAGAAACCTCCAGAGAATCCTGAACATGTTAATGAAATAATTTGATTCTACTGATCATATATGAATTTACTTAGATCTGCTTAGACGAGGAGGAGTGATGTTAAACCAAATATTTGAATGAAATTTAAGTCAAATTTTGTTCCATAAATTATTTATTACCTATAAATGTCAGTTTGGGAGGAGCAAACATGTTGTTGATCCTTTTATAATTTTATTTTTATATTTTTAGCAGCAGACTAACTTTGTCAAAAATAATATTCAAATATTAAAACGTTAGATGGCTGCAGCCCTACTTTACTTATGATATCTTATATTTAGTTGGATTCAGGTCCACACCCAGAAGGGATGATTAAAATAAAACAAGTTCAAGTTCAATATTTTCTAAGAAAGGGAAGAAAGAATAAAAATTGAGCTGAATCGGAAATCGGTTTTGTAGCGAAAATGCTGTATCGCCTTGTATGAAATGGTGTTTGTTAAAGACGAACTTTGCAACTTTTTCATATGTTTAAATCATTTCTTGAGCCAGTATGTGCTAAAGTGACCCTTTACAGGGTTGATGAAATGTCACTCAGACCCCACCGCCTTCTGTGGCCAGAATACCGCGCTTACAACTTCAGAGTGCCTGTTGGTCCTAATAAAGTAGAGCTGACATACCTGGCGCTGCAGTCTGCTTCCAGCTTGTTTCCTGCATGTTTTAGATCAGGAGCACGTCTGATTTAGTGATGAACCGCTCCTGTAGACACCAGTGAAGGCTGGGAGACATTTCAGCAGTTGGATTAAGATGTTATAAAATCAAGTGCACAGCAAGGAGAAGAACAGGGATTTAATAACGGACTCTAGGGGGTGCTAAAAGCAAGCTATAACTGTTTAACACACACTCTTTGCTGTTCTCGGACACGCACCACTAAGGGTGTGAACTGTAGGACGATGAGTGGCCAGCTCCTGTCATCCTTGTTCACCAAAAAGTGATGAAGTTTCTCCTGAACGAAGCAGATGAAAGTAGCTCTGCATCACTGACCCTTCAGCTGGCCTGCAGCTGCTGGTTTAAGTGCTTCCTCCCTCTGGTTGGTGCTGAGCCGCTATTGGCTGCTAGGTCTGAGCAGATCTGGCTCTGGTTTGAAAAACAAACCCATAAACAGCATTTTTTCTTCTTCCTTTTAGCATTAATCTAGATCCTGGGCGTTTTTATTTGACTGTTTTATCGTAATTCTTTGCAGCGATACCAGTTCCCCTCTCTTTTTCCAGCACTTGGACCCTCTTTGGGTTTATCACCGAGCTCTCACAGCCCTGCTCCCATCACCCTCATGACTGCATTCCTCTCACTTTCTGTGTTTACCTCCTCCCCCTCACCTGCCAGTCTCCATGGCGACCGGTGCACTTTATCCCAGGTCTTCTGTCTATTTGTGTAGAATTAAAACTCAGACGGAGAGCTGAGCTTCACCCCTTTCACCAGGTTGTAATCAGCTTCACGGCGACCCGTCTGAATAAGCAGGTTTTATTCTGTTTGTGTTTCCTTTCTCAGGTCAACACGAACTTAATGACATCGATCAAATGTGAAGTGAGAATGACCGGACCGAGGAGAACAACTAAAGGGAGCGAGCCCTTTCTCTAATGGAGCCAGAATTCTTTACATTCAAGACATTGTTGGAAAAAAAATTTTTTATGGGAACTGTTGCTCTTAACAGCGGAGGAACGACACGGAGGAGCGCAGCGGCAAGGAAACAAAACTGCAACGATCAAAGATGGATGACGCGAGGCGAGGAGTCAAAGATGTAAAGAACAAAAAAAACGAACTTCCTCTTGAGGCTCAAAGTGTTCAACTCTTGGTTTTCATCATCATTTAGCTTTTTTCTTTTATTTGCTTTGAAAGAAGCAACACGGAGAAGTCTGGGTGTCCTTTCACCAGCTTTACTTAATCTATTTAGGCTGATTGCAGTTATTATTTTACTCCTCTCTTATTATTATTTTGTATCCTCATCAGTATTTACTCATGAGAATGAAACGGATGTGTTTCACTTCATTTTAAGTTGGATTATTTTCATTTTTCCTGGAGAGGAAAGAGCCGGAGCGACGATACGTGGAATGTCAGGGTCGAGTTTTGCCACAAAGACATTATTGCCTTGGAGAGCGGACATCTGTTGCCTTTAAAAAAGAAGAAAAAACAACAAAAACAGAAAAGTTGTGGATGAGTGAGACACATGTGTGTATGTGTGTGTGTGTGTGTGTGTGAGAGAGAGAGAGAGTGAGTCTTTGGTTCCATTTTGGTCCTTTTGAAAAGTGTTCTTATTTTTCATCACTGGGGGTTTTTACGGTACAGATAGTATTCATGAGAAATCAAATGGACGGTCTTATTTTTCAAGTGCAAAAACGTTCATAATGTACAAAGAGAAGCCAGACTTGTAAGAGGAGGGGATGACAGTATGGACTAAATGTGTGTGTGTGTGTGTGTCATCTTCAATCATTCTGTCAGAAGATGAAGACCGGGGCTGCAAGGAGCCGGAGCTGGACGATCTTCAGGAGCGCGTCTCTGGAGGCGTCGTCCGTGACGTTTCCTCAGCGAGCGTAACCAAGTAGAGCAGCGGTGCAGCAGCGGTGCAGCAGCGGTGCAGCAGCGGTGCAGCAGCAGGCTAATAGGGAGATGCAAAATCCAAAAAGACAAAGCTTTGCCATTCAATTCTAAAGTGAGTCATACATGGTGTCGTCTTCATTGGTTTTTATTGTTATTCTTGTAAAAAACTTAAAAAGTCAAGCTGAAAGATGACAGTTACGCTATCAGAACCAATGCTGTATTAGAAACCTGTCGATATGTATATGAATTATGATGAATACACCTAAACATGCTCCAACGGTCCTCCTCTCCCGGCTCCTTTATTCACCTGCAGGAATAAGAATGTAAGTTTATGCACTCGGGTGTCTACCCCCTACTACAGGTGTTTCTGACTAGAAGTTACAGTTACTCTCTGCTTATAGCTTCATGAACAGCCTCTGTTCTGAGAAATAGCTTTTGCATTCTACTTGACTGCTGTGTCGATCGAGTACAGCCAAGCCAAAAGTATCACGGCCACCTTACAACAGCAGATCATGCAAACATTACCTATTCTTTACTCCACCATCATGTTTGTTACATGGATTTAAATAATGTCACCATCAGCTGTTCTCGGATGGTAGGCGCTGGCGGGAATATCAGATTAAAGCTGAAAGATGTCCTGGTCCATCGTAAGAGTCCAGATGAAGTTTTATTTTTATTCCACATCATTTATTTCCCTTCTCCAAATAAGCTAATTCACAGATTAATGCAAATAAAGACATTCACAGATAAATCAGACTTAATTCCTTTCTACCAAAGATGAGAGCAACTGCAGTCTGTAATTTGCATTTTTGTCCTTCTCCACATTTTATGTGGTCCCTAATTTGTTTTGCAGCCTGAGTTTTCAGATTTCCAACAGCTCGTGTCTTCACTGATCATCTGCCCAAGCATGCACTTCATGTTTAGGTGCATATTTTACTAATGTGAGTTTGTAGTTTCTAATCAAACATGTCAGATGTGAAACTATTTGTTATTAGTTCAAGACAGTAAATACCCAGCTACATCTAGTAAACATACAGACATAGGAACTATTGTTTAAAATATACACATTTTAGTTTTAAACAGCACTGACGCATATACATTACACAGTAAATGTATAAGCTACTCACATTTGATAAAAACCAAAAACGGCAAAAGGAACCAACAGGATCGGTTTTAACGGTTTGTTCTTAGTCTAATTACACGTTTAACTTCATTGTCATCTTTTGTTTGATTTGTTTGATGGCCTCATTATCTGCCTAAAAAAAGATCCACACAAGTCCAGTAGCAACAAAGCCAGGTCACCATCAGTCCATGAGTTTGTGACGACCTTTAGCTCCCTCTGACTAGCATAGACCGCGCAGATGTTCACCCTGGTTTTAGCTCTTTGTTTCACCTCCAAACACATTATTCTACTTTTATATCCAGGCTCCACCGTGACACCAACAAAAAAACTAAACTTCTTATTTTTCTTCTCCTTGTTCTTTTTGACGATTGGCAAACTGAAAATGCTAACCACTAGCATTACAGCTAACAACCAAAAAGCAGGCTAAGAGTGCCCCCTAAAACACCAACCCGCTCCGCAAAACTAGTATGATTTGTGGTCAGCAGAGGGCAACAGAGTGGCGTCAAATATGAAACTGGTCAAGTTTCTAACCAAACAATCACTGAGATCAATGTTAAAGCACTCGCTTAAAGTGTAAAAAAAACTATCCAGTGTTACTTTAAAATTACTACGATTTTTAAACTGCTGTTAACAAAAGTTCGTCTGGATAACGAGAAATCGAGAGCATCTTCACCTACACAAACTACATAACCACTAAAACTAAACCAGTGTTTAACCAGATTAATGAGCTAAAGTAGATGCTATCAGCAGCTAGCTAACAGCACTACAAATATATCAGATCATATGCCCTCTGGTGGCAGAAGGATGAAACCACATCCATGGTAGACAGAGATTTTATTCCTAAAGCCACACTATGCAACATTTTAAAGAGCAAGTCCTCCCAAATCAACTTTTTTTTCCCTGATAAACTATATAAATGTGTGTCTAATCGTGCTGCAGACACATGTAGTCAATAGTTTAGCACTTTAGTGCATTTTAGTGAAAATTTTAATGTTCTGCCTAAAACTGTCAGTGTTGTGCCATTTTCAGGTAAAAACTCTGCACTGCATTTTAATTTAAATCTGCCATCTCTATTGGCTAAAAGGTACCCAAGAACGTTAGCTGGTACCATATGATGTCACAATGTCGTTGTGAGCCTGTGTGTGTGTGTATTTGTTAGCAGCTACGCCCTCTCGGTCTGCTAGGCAACAGCATTTGTTGCATTTTTCAAACAGGAAGTGGGAGTGGAGTAATACTCTGGTAGGGGGTGACTTGCTCTGTAAATAATTTTCTTGAGCAATTATGTGCTAAAACGACTTTTCAGGATTAAATAAATCTCACTCAGACCCCACCACCCCGTGGACAGAATATTGCATTTACAACTTCTTTGTAACAACTTCATTGTTCCGGTCCCTGTTGGACTCGAACCTCTCCTGTAGACACTAATGAAGGCTGGGGAGACATTTCAGCTGTTAGATTAAGGTGTTGAAGAGACAAACACACAGTGAGATGTTTCACTTTTGGCTCTACTAAACGAACACTAGGGGGTGCTAAAAGCCAAAACTGCAAAGTCTCCATTTAAATAAAATTCATGACGTTATTAATGGGTAATTTAAAATAAATATATTTGGGTACAAATTTTTACCAGCATGAGTTTGTAGTTTCTAATCAAACATGTCAGATACAAAACCATTAGTTAAAGACCAAAAGTACCAAACCACATCTTATTTTTTATAAGATACACATTTTTGTTTTGAACAGGAAATGCATCGATGTATTTAGGTTTCACAATAAATGTATAAACTACTCAAATAAATTAAATAAGAACAAAATACAGCAAAAATAACCAGCAACAGAAAATAAACAGTTGTTTTAAAAGACAATGTAACAGCTTCTGCAGTGAAAATAAATGTAAAAATTAAGTACATGACAATAACTAGTTTTTTACACACTTTATCAATTTCTTTAATATTTTTGCTCGTAACTATTTGTTTGTTGGTGCATTGTGTTTATTTACCTAGCTAGCTGTGATTTCAACATCCACTTTGCCTCTGAAAAATGAAATCTCACTCCATGACATTAAAACTGTCGACTGCTCTGATGTGTCGACTGAAAAGTCCCGCTCATGGGACAAAATCTGCAGTTGTCTTTCCAAGGGTTTCTGCACGCCAGCGTCTTAGCTTTAGTCTTTTGCTTGGTTTATGCTTGACGCATTTACTTTCCGCTTGGTGATGCGACTCGCGGATGGAACGCGCTTCACAACTCGCAGCGTTTATGGTTCATGCGGCTTGTCTCTGCGGTGAGCCAATATTCTCCCAAACTGTAGGGGGCAGCATGGAGCTCTACGGCATGCATCCAACACTACACCATAGTAGAAGTAAAAATGACTGTTTACAACATGGCATTCCAGCATTTTTTAACAGCGTCCTCGTCTTTACCGACAGTGCGAGCTATTTCTCTCCAAGAATTATTAACAACATGTTGATCACGGTGATCTCTGAGAGCTGAATCGTACAAATGTCTGTATTTACGAACCTCTGCCATACTAGTTCTTGCCGGTCCGCCATGTTTTTCCACGTCTGACCGTCTGCGTGGTTAGAAAATTTCCTAGGTGCACGGTGCGGAAATATTGGGCCGTGCGGAGGCACGGTGGAGGGGCGTGGTTGTTAAAATAACGCAATTTCGCCACGCGGAGCCGTGCGAACCTCGCGGACGCGTCAAGCATAAACCAACCTTTAGTCCTCACAACGAAAAAGCATTTTAGACGTAGATTTAGTTGACAAAGATTTTAGTTTTGAATTTTACTAGACAAAGTATTATTCTCTAACATATGTGTTTATAGGTCAAACATGTTCCATACCGACATGGTTTATTTATTTTATGGCTATGGGGCACAATCTCAGCTGCCCCAGATTTCGTTAAACAATAATCCGCAGACTGTTTTTTTTTTTACTTTATTGATTATCACAATAGTGTTTATAATTTATTGATGCAGATCTGTGCATCATTCTGTAGATTTCCATAAAAAGAAATTTATGAATGGATTAGGGAGCATACAGAGTATTCTACACAGTGTTTATACAGAAATGGTAAATGGCCTGTATTTGATATAGCGTCTTCTAGAGTCCTGGAACCCCCCAAGGCGCTTTACAACACAACCAGTCATTCACACATTCACACACTGGTGGGGATGAGCTACGATGTAGCCACAGCTGCCCTGGGGCGCACTGACAGAAGCGAGGCTGCCGAGCACTGGCGCCACCGGTCCCTCCGACCACCACCAGCAGGCAACGTGGGTTAAGTGTCTTGCCCAAGGACACAACGACAGCGACAGACTGAGCGGGGCTCGAATCTGCAACCTTCCAATTACGGGGCGAGCGCTTAACTCCTGTGCCACCGTCGCCCACAATAAAGAAATAAAGAAATGTGTTTGTTTAATTTCATTATTTGAGTCATCAGACCTCCATTAGTGTGTTTAAGGGTATATTTTGGCTAAGTCCGCCTACTTAAATGCAGTAATGTTCTGTTATCAGGAACCAGGGAGCAGAGACAATCATCCTGACTGTAAAACTTCGTCTTAAACCTGTTCGGATAAAAACATTTATTTCATTTATCTGCCCTAAAGCATGACTTCAGTTTAGAGAAATAAGAGCTCTACCAGTAAAACACGCCTGGCTGGACGTGTGGGTTGAACTAATCACCTGTTCGTTATTGAAAAGAGGTTCGTTGGTCTGAAAATAACATTTGAAGTTGCTGATTTTGTTTTAATTACTGTGACCATATGTCACCTGACAAATCAGCTGGCCTTCAGACATGAACCGTGGATGATTGTATACACACACACACACACACACACACCCTTTCAGAGTCATATCGGTTGTTTGTGTGTATCTGAAATTGCAAAGCTGCTTCATCTAAGTCTGTGTGAGTTTTTCTGACCGTGTCAAGATCAAATCAAATAAGCATGATGCTGCTGGGTTCAGTAGGCTGGAAAACAGTGTGTGTGTGCGTGTGCGAGTGTGAGTGTGAGTGTGTGTGTGTGTGTGTGTGTGCAGGAGGGTTATAAAGTGATCGAAATGAGTCTAGGAATGAAAATGGAAACAGATTGAACAGAGCTGTCTGTTTTGGATTTATTTATAAGTCTGGATTAAAGTTGTGTGTGTGTGTGTGTGTGTGTGTGTGTGTGTGTGTGTGTGTGTGTGTGTGTGTGTGTGTGTGTGTGTGTGTGTGTGTGTGTGTGTGTGTGTGTGTGTGTGTGTGTGTGTGTGTGTGTGTGTGTGTTGGGATGGGTTGCATAAAAAAGTGACAGACCGCAGAGGTCACTGCGATGCGACCAGAATCCTCCCTGAGTTGATTCTCGCCGTCCGATGAGGCGAGCGGGAAGCACGGACTCACGTTTCTTCTTCAGCCTTGGAAAAAGCGGAACACCGGGCCAAGAGTGGGAACAAACCGAAGCATGTGAGTTTTTTTTTTTGTTTTGTTTTGTTTTCCTGCTCGTCCTTCAGCGCTGGTATTTGTCTCCTGGAGCGTTTCCATGGTTACAGCAGTTTTTTACCTGCCTTCTCTCTAGTTTAGACACCTGTGTTCCAGCTAATTAGCACAACTCTGTGAGTTTCTGTCTAATTCTTTAAATATAATCAGTGATGTCAATCTGCTGGCTCCCCGTCATGTTCCTTTTCATGTCTCCACTAATCGTTGTGGCGTTTGTGCGGAGCTGCATCTCCTTGGAAACTGCTGACATTTTTAGTGACGACTCAGAGCCGTGCAGCTGTACCTGAAGACGAAACTTCCAATTCACTGGCCTACACTTTTCATCCCTGTTCCTTCTCCAGCCCGACGTTTACACCATGGCCTTCTTGCAGACGATGAGATCGCCCTCCCTCTCCTTCTTCCAGACGGTCGTCTCTCTCCTCCTGAACACCCTGGCCCTCATGTCCTCCTTTTGGTGTGAGGGCAAGCAGAAGGTGCCCAAGCCGCTCTGCACGGCCACCAAGCACACCAACTGCATCCCCGTTCCCGGCGTGTCCAACACCTCCAACATCCAGTTCTTCTGGGAGACGGGGGACGACCGCTTCGTCTTCCCCAGGTTCCACACGGGCCTTTTCTTTATATGTGAGGAGAACATCTACGCAGACGAGTGGGGTGAGAGAGAGAGGAGTTAAACAACCAGACGCTCATCTGTGAATAAATCAATGTCTAGTCGGTAATCCCAAAACTAAAGGTCAAAGGTTAAATTTGCTCAGTTGGTCACCAAAACTCTGACCCTCAGAGTAATTACGTAGGTAGACAACTCTAAACGTCTATAAGTGAAAGCCTTTAAATGCACGTGATGAAGATGTCAGAGCTTTAGTCTTCATCGTCTTGCAGGGAAGCTCATGGTGATTGAATGGTACCACCATGAAATTGCTACAGGAAGATGGCGGAAGAACCAAAGTCTCTGCACCCATGAATGTGTGATTATGAGTGTGTGAAGCCATGTGCTTGGCCCAAAGAGGATTACAAGCCGTGTGAGTTCTGCTCAGAGATTTAGACTTCAACATCAGGACTCAATTATGGATTAAAACCCAGAGAGAGAGAAAGGTTAACAGGATTCCCAAATGTCAGCTGGGCTATCATTGTCTTCATCTGCTGCTGGTGAAGAACTGACAGAGAACGATGATTGATATCCACCCAAGTGTCGCTCAGCCACCAGTTTAGGCTGGGATTGGGCTTAACGAGACATTTTAGTTTGTCTTTTTAGTCAACGTCTGCTCTGTGGTTAGTTCTCACCAGATTAATAAAGTTTGGTTTATCAGATGACTGCAATTAATCACAAAGTCCCCCTTTGCCATGAAAATGTACCGGCATTTTCCACTGTCCTTGTGAAGAAGGCTTTATGAGGTCCAAGGAAGTCCTGCAGCACCAGGACCATCTCTCAAAGTCAGGGTCAAGGCTCAACCTCTACAGAGCTGCTCAGAAAGATCAGCAAACAGGTGGGAGAGCACCTGCAGCACACCGAGGAAGGGCAGCAAAGGAAGACAAAGACATAGTTGAGTGAGTCCATCGTAAGAATTCAGCCATGAATAAAAAAGGTACCTAAACATCCTCCCAGAGGAACTCCTCCAACCATCTGTCAAGTTTTTTTTTTGATGAACAATGTCTTCTCCAGGATGATGCAGCACCAGACCAGAAGACTAAAGTCAGAACTAAGTGACTAGAAACAAATCAATAAAATTCTGAGTCAACATTGAGGAAACTGACCAGATCTTAATCCTATCGATAGTCCTCCAGAAGCAGGTCAACACACCCCACAAATTCTGATAAAACTCCAAGCATTGACTTGTCAGTGAGGATTTGGAATAGAAGTTGCATCTCTGGGTGAACGGCATGGGTCTTTGGTGGGTTAGGTAACCCAAACTGAACTGTGCTACTCTAGTGAGCACCAGGCTCTCTTCTTCTTTGGGTAAGGCAGGCTGGACGTCTTGCGGCGTATTGCTCCAGGCCCTCACCTTGGTACTCACCCCTTATAGTGCTTAAACACCCCTCACCCCCCATGTTGATGACAGTGGAAGCATGGGGCGTGAGAACCGAACGTCGGCAAAATGTGGAAACGTGTGTGAGGCTGACTTCGGATAAAAACTGGAGTGGGTGTGGCTCTGAAGTAGGTGTACTGAAACACGATGTTTGAGCTTCTGCTTGGTGACAGCTCCCCTGTGGTGTGAGCAGACCATGTTAGACGTGGTTATAGCGATGCAACACCCGAGCCATGCAACACCCGAGCCATACAACGCCCGAGCCGAGCCATGCAACACCCGAGCCGAGCCATGCAACACCCGAGCCATACAACGCCCGAGCCGAGCCATGCAACACCCAAGCCATGCAACACCCGAACCATACAAGAGCCGAGCCATGCAACACCCGAACCATACAACACCCGAGCCGAGCCATGCAACACCCGAGCCGAGCCATGCAACACCCGAGCCATACAACGCCCGAGCCGAGCCATGCAACACCCAAGCCATGCAACACCCGAACCATACAAGAGCCGAGCCATGCAACACCCGAACCATACAAGAGCCGAGCCGAGCCATGCAACACCCAAGCCATGCAACACCCGAGCCATACAACGCCCGAGCCGAGCCATGCAACACCCAAGCCATGCAACACCCGAAACATGCAACACCCGAACCATACAAGAGCCGAGCCGAGCCATGCAACACCCAAGCCATGCAACACCCGAGCCATACAACGCCCGAGCCGAGCCATGCAACACCCAAGCCATGCAACACCCGAGCCATACAACGCCCGAGCCGAGCCATGCAACACCCAAGCCATGCAACACCCGAAACATGCAACACCCGAACCATACAAGAGCCGAGCCGAGCCATGCAACACCCAAGCCATGCAACACCCGAGCCATACAACACCCGAACCATACAAGAGCCGAGCCATGCAACACCCGAACCATACAAGAGCCGAGCCGAGCCATGCAACACCCAAGCCATGCAACACCCGAACCATACAAGAGCCGAGCCATGCAACACCCGAACCATACAACACCCGAGCCGAGCCATGCAACACCCGAGCCATTCAACGCCCGTACACAAAGCAGCGTCATAGCAAAAGAATTGGGTCCTTATGTGTGTGTGTGAATGGGTGAATGCACCGTGGAGTCCTCTGACCTGATAAAGCTCCAAACAAATCCAAGCAGTTTAATGGTTCATAAACGTTTCACAAAAACTTACTTGTAAATCTGTGGACTGTCCCTTTAAGCAGAACCAAACTGCAGAAGAAGAAACTTTTACATCTTATTTTCTTCTTATTGTCGTCTGTTTTTCAGGCCGTTCGGTTAATCTAGAGCCATGTACAGATTATTGAAGCTGTCATGTAAACAGTTTGGTAATCAGGCCACAAAGAAGCTTAACCAGCTACTAAGACTGACGCCCCAGTTGTTTTCCTCTCCAGCTCTCTCTCTCTCTCTCTCTGTATCTCTCTCTCTCTCTGTATCTCTCTCTCTCTCTCTCTCTCTCTCTCTCTCTCTCTCTCTCTCTCTCTCTCTCTCTGTGTGCATGTGTGCACGGTCTGTGTACACTGCAGAAAAAAATCCCTTTGTGTTGGAAGTGCAAAGTCTGATTTAAAGCCTCCACAACAAGGTGTTTCACTATGAGATGTAAATATTTTTCACCTCTGCAGCCATCAGACCAGATTTGTCCTAAGCAAATCCTGTAATCTTCCGTCAGGTTACGTCGGGTAAAGACAAACCCTTACCCCATCCTGTCACACAATAATTAGACCGGAGCGTTGCATTAAACTTGTAAGAGAAGAACAATTCACAGAAATCTGATTACATTGTTTTTCTTAATGCAACGTTATAAACACTTAAAGCTGTTGCTCACAAAGTAGTTTCTGTGATTCTGTAGAAATCTTACCAACTTCATATGGGAAGCTTTCTGTAGCCCACTGCTCACCAGAAACTAGGTGGAGCTCCCTACCTGCTTTACGGCTGTTAGCTGTTTGCCTTGCCGGTAGCTAACATAACAACAAGCACTTAGCATTTTCAGATCGCCCACCGTCAATAAAAAACACAAGAAGAAGAAATTTGCTCTTTCTGTTGGTGTTATGGTAGGCCTGAAAGTAAAAGTTGGAGAGACTTTGGAGGTGAAGCAAAGATCTAAAACCAGAGTGGACATCAACGCGGTCTATGCTAGTTTGAGGGAGCCAAAGGAGGCTACAAAGTCACAGACTGATAGTGACCTGGCTTTGTTGCTACTGGACTTTTAAGAAAGAACTATGCAGATCTTTTAAATTTGTGGCTTGTTTTTGCATCAGTTGACTCATGTTGGTGTTAGCTCGTTGTTAGCGTTAGCAACAGCAGGCTGTAGCAGGGTTGTTTTTGAAAGTTGTAATTCTGCTTTTAACCAGGAGAGCAGACTTAGTGTTGCTTTAAAGACCGAGTTCACTGAAAAACAGTTTTTTACTTGTTATTTTGAAAAATGATCAGTCACTCTGAGCTTCACACGCAGGTCGAACGTGAAGACTGTCCTCCGCCCCTACTTCCTGTATTAGCCACCATTTCTAGATGGGGAAAAAGCCACACACTGTAGATTTGCACTTATGGACTCACCCATCTTGGCTTGCGGCATGGACGATTGTGTAGCTATTAGCTTACTGTTAGCATCTCCTCAACATGGCAGAACTCCTTCAAGCTTGAGTTATTTGTGGAAATAAAACATCAGTGTTGCAGAGCAAATAGAAGCAATGGAAGAGTTGCATTGCTTTTAGCCAATCAGAGACGAGATGTCCGAATATCAGAAAATAAAGCCTCAAATTCCTCCATCTTCTGCTCCCCTCCCCACTGGGTAACTTCAAGGCCTTTATTTACCGGAGACCACAGCAACACGAGTGAATGAGATTTTTAACGTTGATTTACTAAAACCTTTCATCTGTTTATGGAGTCATGTTGATGAATTTTTCTTCATTTCCATCTTGTCTTGGTTTGTAGAGGAGAAGTGTCGAGGATTTCATAATTTGACTCCAGAGTCAGAAACAGGTAAAACCTTTGTTTGTGTGACACCCGTTCCTTCGTAGAGCCGTGGTTTTTAGCCTCCTCCTTCCTCCACAGCGATGATGTGGTTGTCTGTGTCGATGGAGCTGGTGTATATCGGTCTGCTGCTAGTCAGCTGCACTCTGCTGTCAGTGCAGCTGAGCATCAGGGCTTGGTTCCCCTCCACGCTTCGCTGGGGCCAGATGCTCAACGCTTTTGCCGCTGTCTTCACAGTTCTGGGAGGTACAGATGTGATTGTAGGCTATGTCTGGTAAAGTTACCATTTCTATTGAGGTTTGCTAATAGCTTTGGTTTGTCCCTGGCAGGTCTGCTTGGCATGGTGGGTCACATGATGTTCATGCAGGTGTTTCAGACCATCGCCTCAATGGGACCAGAGGACTTTAAACCTCACAGCTATGGATACTCCTGGGCGTTCTAGTGAGTTCTCTAAATACTATCTATTAAAAATCATCAACCATTTAAATAAACTTATCATCCAAACAGAAACCTTTTCCAGTGTTTCCTCTGTGGGTGCCCTCTGCCCCGGGGGCGGTGGTCAGCTGTGGCGCCTGGGTGCTTTCCAGGTGTGCCTGGGTGGAGGTGGGGGGTCTCTGCCCTCCCTGCCCTGGGCGCCTTGTGTCGGTGCCTCGGCTGCTGCTGTGGATCAGCTGCTGTCGGGGCGAATGGCTCTCCTGATGGCGTTTCCTTATCCTAAACCAGGGGTGTCAAACTCAAACTCACACGGGGCCGAAATGAAACTCTGGGACGGAGTCGAGGGCCAAACTTAATATTTTTTGAAAAAGTGACGGTAAATTAGCACATTTTCTTTATCAACATTTATGCAATTTTGAACCTTTAAATTTGGAAACAAACTTATTTCTGCATTAACACTGAATGTGGAATAACCAAATTACACACGAGCAAGTCAGTTTTAAATAAAACACATCAGTGGTATTCGTTACTTGTGGTATAATCAGCATTTTTAAAATCTATTCAGGATTTATGTTTTCTTGTTTATTCATTTTTCTTATTTTTTATTCTCCTTTTTTCTCCTGTAATAAGTGTCATCGCTGCTGTGACGTCTAGCTTTCCCCACTGAGGAACAATAAAGGGATTTTCTATTCTATTCATCCATCTGCAGCCTTTCCACTTCCTGTTTACTGTAGGTTAAATCTTTTCTCACGGGCCAACAACAAAATAAAAATATCATTTTATCTTAAATGAAAATGCAACATCTCACCTGTTAACTTTCATGTTTTGGAGCAGAAAAAGAGCATAAAACCAACATATTTAAAGCTCAGTTTGCTCCACTGGTTTACTGTGATGCTCACCTGTTCCAGCCAGATACCTGCATCATGGGGTTGATCTGAGCTGAGGAGGAGACTCCTGTTGTTTTGTTCATCTCCATCATAATAATGACAACATTAGATGACAACAGGTGCTCACATAGGTTTGTGCTGATGAACATGTCTGAGCAGCTTGACCACGTTGTTGTGTGTCGGGGAGGAAAAATAAAAACTACAGCAGCCACAGAGTCATGCTGGTTTGAGTGTGTTGCTGCTCGCTGGAGTTATATCAGCTCTGTCTGGACATTAGTTGGAAAACTTTCTCTTTCAGTCGTGAACACGTTACTGAGCGGCTAGAATCTCCGTTTCTGGGCTTCAACGTCAGAAAATAGCTGAGTGAACTCGGCGCTGAGTGAGAGGAGTGTAGTTTGTCCGAGACAGCGGAGCTGCAGACACCGGCAGCAGGCGCTGGAAAAAAACACAAAGGAGGGGGAGCTTCGGCTCCGAGCTGACGCCGCAAAGCATCATGGGAGTTGAAGTCTTTGCAGTAAAATCGGCCAGCAGGCCAGTTTTAATATATTTTTGATATTTATCTCGCGGGCCACATAAAAATGCTCCACGGGCCTTGAGTCTGACATATGTGTCCTAAACTTAGCTGGTCTGGCTCATCTGATCTCAGCCCATTGTGTTTTTTCCATGGGGGCATGTGTGTGTGTGTGTGTGTGTGTGTGTGTGTGCCGGAGGATGAGTGTTGTGAAGGGGTTTTTATTGTCAGACTGTTTAAGCACTTTGAGTTGCATGCATTGCACGATTAAGTGCTATATAAATAAAATTTGATTGATTGATTGATTGAAACGTTTGGAAGTTGAAACCAAAGCTAATGAGATCAGCACCATCTGGCCCTGGTGTTGTCCATGTGGAGTCAACCACTTTTGTTGGTCCTGAGGTCTAATTCTGGCTAAGCCAACCACACACAGCCACCTATGACGTTCTGTCACCCTCACTCCTTGGACTGGCGTGGGTAGAATCAGTGGCGACATCCTGGATGCAGAGGGACCAACATATTTTATCTGACGAGTCGGAGCTGCAACGGCAGCACAAGGACTGGGCGCTCTTGGACGGGAGAGGAGCCCACGGCAGCCCTGCTGCTCAGTGAGAAGAGCAGGAAGCTGTGTGCTTCACGTCAGAGTCTCCAAAGTCAAACCTGCTCACACCCGCTTTTGTTTACTAACTCGAGGCGCTTGGGAAGGACACCACAAGCTTCTCCGCACCACTTTAGCAAAGACTGCCTACGTCTGGGTTCCTGAGAAGGATGTGTAAACAATACCTGGCGTGGGGGCGGGCTGTCCCCACCCGGCCGAGTTGACCGTGGTGCAAATGCGCCGTCCGACCGGACAATCTTGTGTGAAATTGGTCGTGTGTAGTGTTTGCCTTGTTGCCACATACTGCAAGACAAAAACTGGTGACTCTGTAAATCATTATGTGTGTGGTCTAACCCTTATATGACCACCGGTCCCTCCAACCAGGCAAGGCGGGTTAAATTAATTTCTTTCCTATAATTTTTCTAATACCACCCCTTCAGAAAAGACACCGGAGCTTTTTTTTCCCCAGAGTCCAACTTACAGGCCTTCCTTCCTACTAGAGACCACTGGAGATGTACCAAACGTAGGACGGAAGGGCCTCTTTAATATTGCGTTCCAGGTTGTGCGTGTCTATCTTCCTTTGGACGGATTCTCATTCTGATTCAATTTAATTAGGAAATGTCACAACGTGGTTTCTGTTGAACTTAGCCAGGAAGTCATGGGTTGGGAGGATGAACAACACCAGGCTCTGTGTTAGAACTTCTAAGATCCGGTTTTAGGTTCCACCAGCTGCTGATTCACTTGGTCTCTTTGATTCCAAATAAAGGAACCGTTTCTTTGATGTCATCAATGTATTTAGTCCATTCTGATTCATCATCAGTAACTAAATCAGGGAATTGGGTCCTCAGTTGGCCGGGCAAGCCCCCATCTTTGTAGTTTTTCCCTGCTGTGATAGGCCAGGCATCAAACTGTGTGGGCCAATGGCAGAGCTGCTTAGGCTGGACCGACCCGCAGAGCTCGGCTATGTCTCGGTATTATCCTCACAGATTTGCACGCTGATGTTCTCCTGTATCCTGATTCTGTGTCTCCATCAGCATGGCCTGGTTTGCCTTCACAGTCTGCATGGCAGCAGGAGTCTCCACCCTGAACAACTACACCAAAAAGGTTCTGATGGTGGGTCCCAGGCGCACCTCCAGCCTCAACCCCTGCAGCTTTAACATGCTTCTGCCTCCGGCTCCTTACTACACCCCGCCAAACCCAGCCGTCAGCCTGGCCACACCCCTGTCTGCCCCGCTGATCTCCCACCTGTCCCCCTACTACGAGCCTCCATCAGCGGCGTCGCCGTCCTCCACACCGAGGCTCACTCACTCCCATTCCCTTCCTCTCACCCACTCTGACTCCTTCCCTCCTCCCCCGTCTCACCCTGCACCTGCGTCCCCATTCCACCGCCTGTCGCTGCCCTCCCCGTCTTCCTCGCAGGTGCCGTCCATCTCCGTCCACATGATGCGACCAGGACACGGCGAGAACTGTTGTGACCAGGAAGAGGAATACAGCCCACTCTGAAGGGTTTATTGTTTTTTTTTGGGGGGGGGGGTTAGCTGAAATATTATAAATGTCCTGCCAGTCTTGACCCCCGAATAAACCCAAAGTGATTCATTATTGCTAACCATGGAAGAACAGATTCAGGTAAAAAGGACCGCAGTCCTCCGCAATGAGAGGAGCCAGCTGAGGTGGTTCGAGAAACTCCCCTCCCTGGGGAGGTGTTTCGGACATGTCCTGCCTGCAGGAGGCCCCCGGGTCAACCAAGGATGCGTTGGAGTACATCTCCGTCGTAGGGTCCTGCTGGAGGAGCTGGTGGAGGTAGCCGGGGAGAGGGCTGACTGGGATGCCCTGCTTGAGATGTCGGACCCGGGTAAGCGGAGGAAAAGGAACAAACAAAGGACTGCAGTCTCTAAATGTTTATTAAATTTGTAATGAACTGCTGTGTGAATTCTTTGAGAGTGGAGCTGTTTAGGATTGGTCAATTCCATCTAGCCGTTAGCTCATCAATCCTGGAGACCATAAAAAGGTTTTCTCCAAACTCGGGCTGCAAACTTTTACACTCAACCCCTTTAAACCCCACACCCATATCTGGCCATTGTGTGTTTTTATTCACTTCATATGAAGTCATTTTAGGTCTTTCTGTTCTGAGGAAGAACAACACAAGGGCTACGGTTCATCAAATGAAAAAAGATGGACATGGACGACTCTGAAAATGCAGTTTTAATATAGTAAATGTTACTGTTAGTCATTTTAAACACGTATAGCAAAAATAAAACAGCATCAGACACACAAAGAGCATTATGGGTTAACTAACCCTATTTACACAAGGTTTCATTGATGCTGGAGATTCAGACCAGGCCTTTTGAACACGTGTGAGGCGCCACCAGAACATGGAAATCTGTTTTTATTTGTCGGTTTCTGTAAAATTGAACTCTCGTGTCTCCGGGATTACACCTTTGTGTGATCAGACTTAGTTTTGTCGTCTTCCTCGTTGCAGTTCTGCTAAAAACAATCTCCAGGTTGTGTTTTTGCCTTCTGACTCGCATCATGTTGCACAGAAACACAATCATGGCTTGTTTCAGGCTTTAGACGTATTTGTCGCTGCCTGTTTGACTTTACAAAGAAAAATAACAGATTTTTAGACAGCAAAAGAAGTAACAACAATAAAACTGTGCATAAACAATACCTAAATACAACAACACCCTCTGTAATTACTGTAACATACACATCCATGAGTACATGTTCATAAAAACAACAAAAAACCACAGATTTGAATCTTCAATAGACACACTTCACAACAAGGGTTCCAATCAAAGACCTGAGAGTTGTAACAGAAAATCCTTTTTTAAATAATAACCTTAGGTTTTATTTAAAGAGCAAGTCACCCCCTACCAGATTCTTACACAGCTCCCACTTCCTGTTTGAAAAATGCCTAGCAGACCGAGAGGGCGGAGCCGCTAACAAATACACTCAGACAGGCTCACAACGACATTGTGACATCATATGGTACCAGCTAACATTCTAGGGTACCTCTTAGCCAATAGCGATGGCAGATTTAAATTCAAATGCAGTGCAGAGTTTTTACCTGACAACGGCACAACACTGACGGTTTTAGGCAGAAAATTTGTATTTTAACTAAACTACTGACTACAAGTGTCTGCAGCATGATTGGACACGCATTTATATAGTTTATCAGAAAATTAAAGTGGATTCGGGGGTGACTTGCTCTTTAATTAGTAGCTATAGATCACAAACGAACAGCCGCTGTATTTCAACATTTCATGTTACAAACTAAGTGAACTGATTCTATGAACGGAGGCGGGATTATCAGTTGATGGAAGACTAAACTAATCATCAACGGATCGTTTGTGTGATTTCTACCCCCGTTATGAAGTGTTGCTCTCTAATCTCACCACAACCCCTCACGAGCAATTGTTTCTGTTTAGTTGAAAAAATGGTATTTTTCAGACTCTCTGAAGTTAGGGTGTCCAACTGTCCCTGAAAATAAGCAACGGTTCAATGTTTGAAAAGAAAAGGACATGATCCGTATTTAATTAGTAGAGAATGTGGTTTGTTTTTGTCCCTGCAGATTTAAAGTAACGCTAGACAGTTTCCTGCTCCTCCGCCCTACTGGCTGAAAGGGGAATTGCAACTGTCGTAAACGACCCTGCTGTAGCTAGCGCTAACAGCAAGCTAACACTAACATGAGCCAGCTAAAACTAAAATAAACCACGAAGTATAAAGATCCACATTTTCTGACAAAACATATTATTACTTACAAGTCCAGTAGCAACAAAGCCAGGTCATCATCAGTCCGTGATTTTGTAGCATCCTTTAGCCCCCTAAACTAGCGTAGGCCGTGCCGATGTTCCCTCTGGTTTTAGCTCTTTGTTTCACCTCCAAAGACGTTTCTCTATTGCGTTTACTTCCAGGCTCCGCCAATGCGCCAACAGAAAAGCAAAATTCCTCTTTTAATTCTTCTTGTGCTTTTTTATTCACGGTGCACGATCTGAAAAAGCTAACGGCTAGCAGTAGTAGGGGGCTGCAGAGTGGTGTCAAATATGAAACAGGTCAAGATTTTTAACCCAACAATCACCGAGATCAAGCTAGCTTAAAGTTTAAGGAACTATTTAGTGTTACTTTAATGCCAGTTGGGCCCCGATCTGACGGGGACGTCGAAGCTGTCTGTACACTCGACTCCTGTCATAAGTTCTGATTGAAGCTCTCTGTAGGATGTGATCTAACGGACGTTTAGCTTTAATGTGTTTGAGATCTTGTGCTGTCCTGGTTTTGGACCCGATCTCTCCTGGAAAAGATGTTTAAACCCTGATGAGACCAATCAGGTGGAATAGAAGAAAATTCAGACAATGATCTTGATACCTCACTGATTGGTCAGAGTCTAACATAGCTTAATGTTAACCAATCAAAACAGCTTAAATCAAAAAGAAATTCCTTTGTCTAAATTACTGGTTAACTAATAAGGACGAAGACGTGAAGAACCAGTCAAACGTTTGGACACAGCTCCTTGTCTGCACGGGCAGGTATGCCCAAACCGCGTAAACGGCACAGCCAGCGTTCCTCGTTTTATTATTTTAAAGTTGGCAGCCCTACCTGAAGTACTCCAGCCCATCTCAGGACCCAAACAGCTGTAAAGATCAGTCAAACACTGGGTGTGTTTGAGAGGATCGACAGGTTTGCTGTGTCCTGAGCTGAATTTACTCAAATCCAAAACACAAACTCATCAGGTTTTAGGAGAAAGAGCAGAGCTGCCCCATCAACAAACAAACAAAACAACAAACAAACATCCAAATAATAAAAATTCAGGGTCACGTGGAGCTCGATTCTAAAGTCTGTCTCATTTCTTGCGTAGAGCAAAGTAAATGACGGCAGAGATGAAGGTGAGACCGAAGGCGATCCAGGCTAGGATGTAGCAGTGGCCATACGAACCGTGCTCCTCCAGGTGGAAGCGGTCTGTGTAGATGGAGGCTGCGATCATGATGAACAGGCCTGGGGACAACAGAATCAAATCATGTCTGGTGACCGCTGAAGCAGCAGACCGGGAAGCTTTCAGAGAGAAACTTACAGGCAAGAGACTGAAAGATCCCCGAAACGATGAATTTACGTCCCTTCTGCAGAGTGAAGAGCTCAACGGCAAACACAAAGACCCCGAGGCCAGAGAAGATGCACGCCAGCACCGAGGTGGCCTGCACCGCCTGGAGGTAGTCTGCAGAGGGAGCCGGAGAGGAAAGCACAGAGACGTTAGACATTTCTCCAGCAGATGATTTTACTGGATGCAAAACGACACATCAGGCATCAAGCTGCTTTAATGACGCTGTCAGAGGCAGCGTCTGAAAAGTGAAGTGCTGCACGGCATGAGTGTTTCCCTGAAGTGTCAGCTGGCCTTACTGGTTCAGGACGCCCACCAGGTTCAATAAGACTACATTTTAAAATGAAAACTTCTAAATCATCAGAAAACACGAACGTATGTTTCTGCTTGTTTAGAAAAAGTTCTCTCTTCTTTGTTATTTGGCTGCAAGTTGAGTCATTTAATTGATTTGGCGTGGGCGACGGTAGCACAGGAGTTAAGTGATCGCCCCGTAATCGGAAGGTTGCAGGTTCGAGCCCCACTCAGTCTGTCGCTGTCATAGTGTCCTTGGGCAAGACACTTAACCCACGTTGCCTGCTGGTGGTGGTTGGAGGGACCGGTGGTGCCAGTGCTCGGCAGCCTCACCTCTGTCAGTGCGCCCCAGGGCAGCTGTGGCTACATCTTAGCTCATCCCCACCAGTGTGTGAATGTGTGTGTGAATGGGTGAATGACTGGTTGTGTTGTAAAGCGCCTTGGGGGGTTCCAGGACTCTAGAAGGTGCTATATCAAATACAGGCCATTTACCATTTGATTGGCTGACTGGTTGATTTCTGTCAATAAAATCAGACCAAACAGCACTCCCACGAGTTTCGATGAAACATCACAGCAAAAAGTTTCACCCTTGTTTTAACCTAGTTTTGGAAATCTTTGTAGAAATGAAGGCATTTAAAACATTTTGGCAGTAAACAAGCTTGTGATGGAGTGTTGTTTTACAAGAATGCAGAAACCTCTTTTAGTGGATGGACGTTTGTTACCTGAGGGGTAAGATGGGATGTCTGGGAGGCTGGTGAAGTTCCAGACTCCATTTTGCCCGATCCATCTACCCCAAACGTCCGTGGACATGGTATCAGTCACCCACCAGGCCTGATGGGAAGAGCAGACACATAAAACTTTACAAAACTTGCAGAAAAACCAATCAAATGACCTAGAGCTAACTTGACTTGTGACTGTTTGGGTCAAATCTGAGAAACGATGTTAGAATTAAAGTGACTGCGAGATCTTGAGCAGTTAGCATTCAGAGTTTATGTTGGGGATTACTCCTAACTACTGTGACATCACATGAGCTCAATATCTGTAAAGTAGGTTGAGTTATACCCAGCATTGTGTTTGCTGAAAAGCTGTGGTGGCCATTTTGAACTGGGTTTACTTTAAAGTAGCGCTGCATAGTTAATTTAAACTTTATGCTAGAGCTTCAACGCTGATCTCAGTTATTGTTGAGGTAGAAACTGGACCAGCTTCATACTTGAGAGCCCTCTGCAGCCCTCTGCCGGCGGAAAACCGCACTAGATAGTTTTGTGGAGCGGGTAAGTGTTTTAGGGGGCGCTCTTCAACTGCTTTGCGGCTGTTAGCTGTAATGCTAGCAGTTAGCTTTTTCAATTTGTCGATCACCAATAAAAAACACGAGAAGAAGAAAAAGAAGAAGTCAGCTTTTTCTTTCAGCATCATGGCAGAACTTGGAAGTAAACACAAGAGTGTCTTTGGAGGTGAAGCAAAGAGATAAACCCGAGTGAACATCAGCGGGGCCTACGCTAGTTTGAGGAAGTTACAGGAGGCTCCAAAATCACGGACTGATGGTGACCTGGCTTTGTTGCTGCTGGACTTATAAGTAATAACATTTTTGTACAACAGTGTGGATCTTGTTACTTTGTGGTTTAGTTTAGTATTAACTGGCTCATGTTAGCATTAGCTCGTTGTTAGAGCTAGCTACAGCAGGGTTGTTTATGACAGTTGTAATACCACTTTCAACCGGTAGGGTGGAGGAGCAGGAAACTGCTCTGTTTCTTTAAAAGTGAACACGTAGGTAATGATTTGTCCTCTGGAGCCAAGCGGGGTAGCAAAGGCCTCGCTCGGGTATGCAGCAATGCATTAAGCTGGATTTATACGTCTCTGTCAGCTCCAAAAGGGAGACACGCACAGATGGAGACATTTTGCCCTCGTACTTCTCCGTCTCCTGGGGTGTGTTGCAAAGCAATTCCCCGCCAGGACACCAGAGGGCGTAGCGCTGTTCTGTGGTATCCTGTCATGTATCCTGTCCAGGATAGTGCGTTTATATTGTGTTTTTTTGTATTTAAGACAAATTTGTCTCATTCTCCTCCACTTCTTCATGCACTCGCCGCCTCTAAAGCCACGTTTCCTGTCATTTCCGTCCACAAATAGAACACTTGCTGTGGATCTTTTCCCTCCTCCAGTCCCGGGGGAATTAAACGTTCATAATTTAGAGTTTTTTTCACGAGATATTCTTCAAGCTTCTCCATGTCTGCCGCTAGGTATCCTCGGCTCTCTTTATGCTTGTGAGGGCGCAATGGCGGCGGTGTAGACGGTGCCCTGACTAATCACAAGCTTGCGTTCTCCGTCTCGACAGACGGATGTTTAGAAAAGAGAGCTCGATTCTGTCCGTCCTTGCGAGCCTGCTGGAGAGCCCTCGCAAGGACGTATAATGGTGTTGCGTGTCTCCGCACTGACGCAGAGGCATGACTCAGGCATTCGAGTGCAGGTGGGAATGTGAGATGTTTATATGTGCAGCATGTACAGGTGAGTTCTGCATAACCAGTTGTAGAAAGCATGATCTGTCAAAAAGAAATGTCAAATATTTGGAATGAAATGGAACAGGGAGGGATGATAGTCAAACCAGTATGGGTCAAAAAGAACTCCTTGCCCCCAGTGCTGGTGTGATGGCGCCATCACACTGACGATGCTTACTTCACTCGCATGGAGGAGATATAATAGAGATATATAGAGGAGATATAAAGTCATATATTTTTTAAAAGTTCCCCTTTCAGAAATTATGTACGTTTTTTTCCCAGAAGTACGTAAAAGTGATATTCTCGCTCTGTGCTGTGGTATAATGTAGGCAACGCATCAATGTTTTTGCTAACCCCGCCCCTTTCCCATAGAGCCTTAAATCAATCAAATCAAATCAAAGATACTTTATTAATCCCAGAGGGAAATTAGAGTTTCAGTACACACAGTTCAGAGATCAGACATACATGGGCAAGACACATGACAAGAACTGGTGACTGTGGTCATTCGCAACCCTGAATCGCGCTACCTTAATAGAGATAAGAGGGTTACATGAGGATTGGTTCAGGTGGAGGGAAAAAAAGGCACTTCAGAGCTACCATCCACCAGGAGGGCAGCTTTGCTCTGCAAAAAACACCTCAGACAGACAGATATGCAACAGACTTCAGACAACACAACATAAGATGCCACTAGGTGGGGTGGTGGGTTGGGACTATCCCCACTTCAGTTCCTGCAGCCACGATAAGCAGCGCATGTCACCTCAGTGTGGATAGGGGGAGGAGCATTTAGGGTTGGAGGGTTGCAGTGACCCTGGACGCTTTGGCGGCCTTCCCGCAGTCCCGCCCAGGCTGGGATAGGAGACAGAGTTGAGTTGCCATAGCGACGGCACATTCCACATATCTTCTGAGGGGGGAGTTTTCGTTGGAGCCTTGCAGGCTCAAGGGCGCCAGATTCTGATTACAAATTGTTTTGGGGCCAGACAGAGATAATTTCCTCTCTGTCTTACAGTTTGTTGGTCCTCAACCTCTCAGAATCCCAATAATGGACATTAAATTATCCCGATCCGTGCTGATTCGTCCACTCTCTCCTTGATGGCATCCATCTTTTGTGCCAAAGAATGAATCTCCGCCAAAGTACCAAGCTTACGGTTCATCTCGACAATTATGTGAGTCTGTGAATTCACAGCGTGGTGCAAACCATCTCTGAGCTCCGGGATCAGGCCAATATTCCTCGGTGAAATACATACATACTCTTTGATGACTTGATTATTATCATTATCCTGAGCTACTACAGCAATCAATTTCCCTCTGGGATTAATAAAGTATGAATACATTTGAATACATTTTGTTCACCTTTAGATGGCGCCTTCTGAGAAAAGCTCCAGATTTAGTATTTAAAGTGATGGTGTGTATTTTCCCTGGTGATGGGGGGCAGCACACACCTAAATCATTGCATGCAAGTCGTATTTTTGTGTTTGAGTGAGACCTCACCAACAGAGGGTCATTAGGGTGAAATGTCCCCTCCTCCAGCTACATGACAGACGCATGAGACTCCCTTTTATCACGGGCAACGAGTGAAGAAGTCAATGTGTAAAACAGCAACGTTCATGAATGGTGGAAGTTTTCCATTTGTTACAAATCAGTAAATGTGTTTTATCCTCATGGGTTCCCGTAGAAGAAAGCATGGCGTCGCCCAGACTCAGACCCGCTCCAGAGTATTTTAGAGCCGATTTTTATGGGTACATGCTATGAAGCCGCCATTATTTGTCAACACCCGGGCGTCGCTTAGTTAATTTTCAACATTTTTGATTTTCTAGAGTCAAACAGTAAAAACGAGACATCGTCTCGTTAGATTTGGACAGATTATTTACAGTTTGGTGGTTAAGTTTGATTCTGCGTGCTTATTCCTCGCGTGACTCAAAGCTGAGTGACTGTTCTGCACGGATCAGTTCACGGATCAGCGCTTTGGGCTTCCTGACAGGGTTGCGGAAGGCGCTTTATAAATAAAGCTTTGATTGATTGATTGATTTGGCTTCACTTACATTGTCGATGGTGGCCACCAGGAGGAGAATGATGGCTGCGATGTGAAGGACAAAGATCCCACCGAGGACAATCGACATGATGACGGTGCTGTAGGTGAGAAACAGACATTCTTCCTCATTTCACAGGTTTAGCTCTGACAAAAACTTCTTCCTTAGTCATTCATGTCCCTAGAAATGCACCCTGGGACTCATTCGTGACACCAAATCCCTCCCCGGGAAAAACAAGCCCTCCACACCAACTTAGGGTGTGGCTTCATCACGTCTAATTACTGCAGCTAACCGCCAGAGGCACGCTCTGCTCTGGTGACGCGAGCCTGCAACCCGAGCTCGTGGCTCTGTTCAGAGCAAGGACCAAAGCAAATGCAGAGGTGCTGATGGGCTGTTGTCACCGTGTCGACATCAGAGAGAACTGTGATCGTGAGCAAACTGGAATCCCTGCTGCAGGGAGGGTCTGGAGAGAAGTTCGTGAAGGGTGGATCAGTATGGGCTTGTCTGGTGCTTAAAGCAGAGGTGCCACTCCCTGGAATGACAGTAAAGAACACACGCTGTTCCCCACCTACATAATCCTCTCCGTGTCTCTTTATGCCCTCAGAGAAAAGAGCTCCTCCAAACCTCAGCACCAAATTCTAAAATTCACCCAAAACCAGCTGTGTTTGGTCAAACCCGGGTCTGGAACCGCGTTGGGAACACTTTTTGGAATGTTGTGTGCTCATTAAAGGAGCGGTCAGGGGTTGGGTCCGCTCACATACTCTCACACGCTGCACCTCACCGACCGAGCTGAACCTGTGATGACTTGTGCACCAAGCTGGTCCTCGTGTGACCAGATTTTCCCTCCGATTTCTTACCAACTACACGCATTTAGTAGATTCATCTGGATAATTTAACCCTCTCAGGCTCAAATTAAGTTTGGATAAAAGGACGAACAACTAAGTCCTTCAGGGTTAGGTGGAGTAACCAGGTAGGAAGGTTTTAACGTTGCAAAACTGCAACACCTGCCTCCAGAGGGTTAAAGCAACAAAAAGAAACACTGATTTTCATCTTAAAAGGATTGTTTTTGGTACTTTTGTCTTCCAGAATCAACATTTCTGCAGATCTGACTTTGATGATGCAAAATTTCCACCAAACACGACAGAAACAATCAGATTTTGGCTCTTGAACCACAAAAATCACACAAAACAGAATAAAAGCTGATTCTGCGTTACAGCTGCTGAAAACACATCTGGAAACCAAATTATCTAAACCAACTTCGCTCCACACCTGCATTTGCTTTCATATTTACAACTTTCCCATGAGTTAGGAAAGCAAAACCAACAGCAAACGTAGATCACCTGAAAAAATCCTATTAGACATCAGACTCGACAGAAAAGTGAGAGGAATATCTGAAACACGTTAACTCACTCTTAGAAGGCTGCAGGTCTCCTTTGTGGATCTCAAGGACACTAATTCCAGGCTTGCAGTGCAAATGCACAAGCATCAGAAATAGGGCCGCCGCCCACTTTGGTCCCGCCCTCTTTTTCAAAAACCCACTCCCCAAACAACCCTCCCTTTGGCCTGATTGCATAATCTCTCCTTTTTAAAAACGTCTTTCAACTCCACACACACACACACACACACACACACACACACACACACACACACACACACACACACACACACACACACACACACACACATCTGTGACTCATTGACGTTTGAAGGGGGAACTCCTAACAAACAGCAATGGTACACATGCTGCCATGGTGACAGACTGCAGCCAAACTAATCTCACCGACGTTGTTGCTATGTGTGACACATCTACACACTGGATCTGTCAGATTTACACACACACACACATTTGCTCTTCCACACAGGGGCCTGTATTTGTTTTCCGGTATTTGACCAGTTGACACGGGAGACGGCGATGTTTCCTGGGTGAAGGAATGTCGCCCGTTGCAAGTGAATGACAAAAAGGTGGGGCAAATCAAGAGAGAAGAATGCGGAGGCGTTTGACTGTGAGGGGTGGGGTTCCTGGAGAAGTTTCGCGTTGACGTGAGATTCATCACGGTCGGGTCCTCGGTGGTGACCAGTCTGCTCCGGGTGAGTCATCTGCTCGTAAAGCAGATCTCTCTGATTAGTTCAGAGCAACCAGGAATGTTTTGAGCTGAATGAAAACTCTATAAACACTCCTCGGGTCAAAAGCCAACACACACAGAGTCGTGTGTTTGTTCGTCGTAGCCCTCGGTGATGTGGGAGGATTCCTGTGGCCGGTCAGACACAACTGCAGAGAGCCGAGGATCTCAGATCACTAGGTCCCTGACTGTGAGACAGCGCCAGAGGAAAGGGGGCGAGCGGGAGTCTGACCTACAAGCTTTAGACGTAGTCCTGCTTCGGCACGCCTGGTTGATTGTCACATCCATCACATTCATCCCGTTCCCAGAAGCCTGTTAATCAACCACTGATTACATTCAGCTGTGTTGGATGAAAGAAACTCCTCCACCTTATAGGACAGCTGCCCGCAGTGGGGCGATACTGTGTCTCATTCACAAGATTTCACCTTTTCCAAACATTTATTTCTCACACGGTTACTTTTACGTGCAAACGACAGCAGAAGCGCCTGCATTTGGGCATCCAGGGGTCAAATCCAGTAGGAAGTGTTAGTATTCCCTTTAAAATGAACCAATCTGACCACCTTGGACCGCTGCTGGCCACGCCCACCCACCCCTGATTGGCTGCTATGAGGTAAGGAGCTTGAAGTAGAGCTGCCGCTCCTCCGGCATCGACAGGTGAGATTTTCTTTATTGTGAGGTCTCCAACAGCTTCTAGAAGCAAATGATTCCTGAACTAAACAATGAAAGAACAAAAACAGATGTTTTTTATTCACGCTTGAGCAGGGGTGCCCAATCCTGGTCCTGGAGGGCCGGTATCGGGCAGGTTTTGTGTTTTTTCTGCTCCAACACACTTGATTGACTGGTTGAATCACCTGTGCAGCATCTCATCAGGCTCTGCAGAAGCATGTTAATCACATGCTGATTGAAATCAGGTGTGCTGAAGCAGAGTTAAAACTCAAACATGCTGGATACCGGCCCTCCAGGACCAGGATTGGGCACCCCTGCGCTTGAGTGTTTATAGAGGCAGCAGAGACCCACGTGGAAGCTCAAAAATAATCCTGTCCAGTTTCACAAATGATGTCTCCTTCACAGCAACACTAATGAGGCTTTAACACCTTAAGCTGTTCCTTAACCAGTGGGTTTCAGCGATTCCTAAGGTAGAAACTTTACCGACTTCCCTTTGGACAGCACTCTGCAGCCTTCGGCTGACCGGAAACTGCACCTAACAGTTTTGTGGCACAGATAGGTGCACCAGGGAGAGGTCTCGACCTGCTCTAAGGCTGCTAGCTGTTTACGCTACCGATGACTGAGATAAAGGCTAGCAGTTAGCTTTTTCAGTTTGCTGACCGTCAATAAAAAGCACAAAAGAAAAAAGAAGTTCTGTTGGCATCATGGCGGAGTCTGTCAGTAAAAGTAAGAGAGTAAAGTTTTTTGAGGCAAAGCACAGAGCTAAAACCAGAGGGAACATCGGCATGGCCTACGCTAGCTAAAGGAAGCTATGAAATCACTGGCTGATGCTGACCTGGCTTTGTTGCCACTGGACTTGTAAGTAATACTATTTTTGTCCAACAGTGTGGATGTTTGTACTTTGAGGATTATTTTAGCATCAGTCGGCTCTTGTTAGCATTAGCTCATTGTTAGCACTAGCTACAGGAGGCTGCGTAAAGGTTTTTATGACGGTTGTAATTCCACTTTCAACCAGCAGGACGGAGAAGCAGGAACCCCTTTAATGGGATCTTTGTTTGACAGAAAATTCAACCTTTTCATGCTGGTGGTTCTATCAATTCTCTATTTTTGGGGTTCTCATGTTGACTTTTTTCATTTTTATACCTTTTTTTTATTTCAACTCCCAAATTATAAACTTTTTTCACATGTTTATAGTCCTTTTGAAGTCCCTTGTGATTTTCAGTCTCTATATACTTCCACCACCAACAGGAAGTCAGAGTAAAACTTGAAAACTTACTGGAAAGATGTTTAAACTGCGATCAGCAGAAAGCTTTTATGGTCACGTGCATGCACTTTTTGGTTTTGTGTCTGAGTTACGTGCAGTCACAAACACCCTTCACTTGTTTGACATCATAAATGGAAATAACTGAGGGTCCACTGAGGTTTGGAAGGACATTCGCCACGCTCTGATGACATTTCGGCATAAAAATTCAGCCCTACAGCAGTGAGAGAACATGGGAATGAAGAAAAACACCTCCGTCCTAAAAGAATTGTGAGAATATGTTTGCGTTGGGAACAAAACTGTAAACATTAAAGATGTCCTTCACTGAGGATCAGTCCTGCTTTAGCTTCTGATAGAAAACAGACGGAGAAACTCTAGGATTAGAAAAGCCCGACAGATCTACGTCACGCTGTCACTAACATTCAGCAAACAGCAGATAGTAGAAGCTAACTGTTAGCATTAGCAGCTCCACCACACAGCAGAACTCCCCCAGGCTTGTGTTATTTGTGAAGACGAAACATCAACGTTGCAGAGTCAGTGGTAGTGTCGTGTTGCTGTTGACCAATCAGAGGAGAGGGGTCCAAACATCAGGAAGTAAGACCTGCTGTCTGAAGCTAACTTCTCCTCCAGCTGAATTCTACAGGTGCACCGGAGCTTTTGTTCCCCAGAGTACAACTCACAAGGCATTCATTCCTACTAGATTCCTCGACCTCTTTAACAGATACAAACATTTTTAAAAAATCACCAACGAGAGCAGAGAGCTTGAAACTGTTAAACCAAAAAACACTGAGTCAAGGTGGACTCAGCAGGACACCTGGTCGCTGCCATGTCAGGCTCTGTCAGCAGCAGGTATAAACACGCCTTTAGGGCTACTTGTGTGGCCACATTCTCACAGGGTCATTAGGTCATGAGCACATCCATCCAAACAGATCGTTATCTGACTCCATGGATGAGGAGGCAACCACATGCTTTTCAGACCCGTCTCTCTAGATCCCTCCTAACTAATCGTTTAAATCCTCAAAATGACCTCATCTGCTCAGGAGCTAGCGTCAGTGGTGCGTAGCTGAAGAAGCTACGGCTAAAACAAACACGATGACGGGGCACCTCCCTGCATGTGGGAAAGAACAGAGCATATGTACAGTCTATGGTTCCCATACCGGAGCGCTTTGTGTGTGGAGGTGGCAAAAATCCCTTTGGTGTGAGGGATCTGTAATAGTGAGCACTTGTGAAACTCAGCTTGAGAAGAGTGGATCCCGAGGAGAGCGGAGATAACTGAGAATGCAGTCGGGCCTGCTTGTGTTCTGGGCGTGGCGACCTCGCCTCACAGGTGAGCTAAACTAAGATTTCCCCTCTGCTCCACGCCCTTCAGCTTAATCCCAGCAGCAGAGGTTTGCAGCGGCGCAGATGGAGACTAAATAAAGCCCACAGGAAATGCCTGTGGAGAGCTCGCCACTCGCGTTATGCAAAAGTCCATTTTCATCCCCAAATCTTGGTGCGTGTTGGCGAGAGAGACCCGGCGTGAGTCAGCCACCCCCGTTTAGGAGCGTAGTAGTGAAGCACCGTTTGGATCAGCGTGGGGGTGGGGCGGGAGCTCGGCCACAACACGTTTTTAGAACCCAAACAGAAAAACCAACCAATCACGTGCCTGAGAAAGGGTTAGAGGAGACCAGTAGTAACAGTCAGGCCTTTGTCATGGAGCAGAACTCGACAAACCAGAATGAGGCGGAGAGTTAGCTCTTCTCTGGGAGTTTCCTGCTGTTTCAGCTGCTAAAGTTATTTTTTCTCTGTTTTTCTCCCCAGAAGAAACTACAACGATGTTCTGCTGAGCTGTGGTGGCCTCATGGAGGGCGCCATCGTCTTAAACACTGCTGCTAACCAATCAATCAATCAATCAATCAATCAATCAAAGCTTTATTTATAAAGCGCCTTCCGCAACCCTGTCAGGAAGCCCAAAGCGCTGAACATGGTACAGTTAAGTAAATATATTGAATAGATCAACAATAAAAGAAATTCAAATTACAAAATACAAAATGGAAATTACAAGATAGATGAAACATTCTCCCTCTCCTGATTATAACATTTTACTTTCTTTGACACTGAATGTGCTACTACTAGTTTACCCGTTTAATTATAGATTCGCTAGGATAAATACAATAAAGTTTGTCTCTCACCAAAGACAATATTTACTAATGTAACCATAGAAACACTGGTGTGTGTGTGTGGGTGTGTGTGTGTGGGGGGGGGAGGGGCTGGTCTCTGTGACAAGTTACAGTCCCGGAGCGTCTCCCCAACAAGATCTCCTCTTTCATGGATTTTCACATCAGCTGAGCCTCACATTCCTGATGAAGTCGTCTGCTACAGTGAAAATGCCGTCCATTCATCTCTCTGACGCGGGGGTTAATCGTCCCGAGGAGATAAATGCCAAGCGTAAACTGACAAATGGAGCGTGCACGAGACAGACTGCAGATCTTTAGCTCGAGCAACGCCCA